AGACTGATGAACAAGAACAGACCCAGAGATAAGGAGCTATGGATCAGACTGTTGGACCTCAGAGGGAGGGTGGGGATAAAAGGGAGAGATCAACCAAAGGACTTGTGTGCATATATATGAGCCTAACCAGTGATAAAGGACAATAGGGGGAGTGGAGACTTAAGTGGGGAGGGGTAGAGGATTGGAATGGGGGTTGAGGACAAATATGTGATACCTTAATCAATAAATTTAAAAAAATAAAAAATAAAAATAAAAAATAAAATAGAGTGCCCAGTGCCCAGAGGCTCCTGAGAGCTCGTGGAGGTGGGCCCTTGCTCATGGTTTTTTTTTGTTTGTTTGTTTTTTTACTACATTCCTTCCATGTGCAGTGATCACATTTCTTCTGGAGCAGAACAGGTGGCAGGGGCTCGAGTGACCTGGAGGAGGCATGGGGAGAGCAGTCACCGCTGTTCACCGCTGGCGGTATCCTTTTTTCCTTGTGGAGCGTCTAGGGAGGGGAAGTGGCCGCAGTGCCCAAGGCCGAGTTCCAGGAGGCAGGCAGTGCGGTCGGGATCATGCCGGCAGCACAGGTCTTTTGGTGCCGGGCCTTGTCCTCTTGAGAATGAACCTGAAGATTATTAAGGAAGCCTGTCCCCAGTTCCGCCCCTCGTCCAACCGATTAATTGGAGTCTGAGGGCAAGAGGAAAACCAAGAGGGCTGCCACTGATTGATCAGCTCCTGCTCCCTCAGCTCCCTAGACTGCCGTTTGGTCGTCAGTCCGGTTATTTAGGTTGTGACTGCATCTGGCTTTTTATATATTAGGACTTTACAGATGGGTCCCTAACCATGCACTTGCTAAAGGGAGGGCAGGACGGTGTAGGGGGTTGGGTTGGGAGGGTGGGGGAGAGAATACTGTTTTTGACCATTCCGAGCACAGGAGATGAAAGCAATAAAGCTGTAGTATCTCCATTTGTCAGAGTGTATCAGATGTAACATCAGCCTAACTATAACAGCATATTTAATGTTTTCTCCTAAGAAATTTAAATTCCTAAACACATCCTCAATTCTGAGCAGACTAGTCTCCCTTTAATTTATATGATTCCATGTTTTTTTTCAAGATCCTTCTACATATAAAACCTTTTACACTTATTCTCTCCCTTCATTCGTAAAACCAATTGACCAGTTCCTTCAGCTGAAATTAATCCCTTTACTCTAGTTCCCCTTCACCTGTGCTTCAAGTCCCTTATCACTTTCTATCCTGTACAGTATTTTTCAACTCATTTCAAACATACAAAAAACCTCCACATACACGCAAAAATCCACAACACTCCACAATAAACACTCAGTACCCAGATTTAACAAATGTAAACATTTTACCTTATTTTTTAAATCTACTCCTATCTTCTGAAGTAGAGGCCCAGTGCATGAAACTCATGCCCCAGTAGGGTCCCTTAGCAGCTGCTGGCTGCTGACCAGGTACTCCCTTCCCCCAGCCGGCCTTGCCTTCTGGTCGAACTCCCAAACAACTCCCAGTCGAGGAGACAATTTGCATACTACACTTTTATTATATAGAATAGTGCTTCTGAAGGACTTGGGGGAAGAGACCTCCTTCACCTATACAGTAAATTAAATACTGAAAAGATTGGCTATCCATCATTCCCATCCTTTCACATAGGTGGGTCTTTTCTCTTAAACTGTGCTTTAAGTCATGTAGTATATAAACATGTTTAGGCACAACTATACATTTTGTAAGTATCAAGTGCTCATATTTTCATTTTTTAGTGCCTAAAACAGATCCAAGTAGACATTTAACAGAATCTTGATAAGTCGATAAATCTACAACCATTTCATCCAAAGACCAAAATACCTCCAAGATAGAAAGGAAATCATCAGCCTTTTAAATTCCTATCATTCAACAAATCATCTTTCTAATTTTTAAAAAATCTTCAGACAAGGATATTTTTTCTATTGATTTCTAGAAAGAATGGAAGAGATGGAGAGAGAGGGGAAAGAGGAGGAGGAGGAGAGGGATACATTGATGTGAAACACATTGAATGGTTGCCTTTTGCACATGCCCTTACAGGGGGGCTTGGGAACCTGCAACTGAGGTATGTGCCTTTGACCGGGAATCAAACCTGCAACCCTTTGGTCCATGGGCTGAGGATCTAACCACTGAGCAAACCAGCCAGCACCCAATCCCCTTTTCAAATAAATTGGTAACAATAACAAAAAAGACAAGTTTCTTTCTGTAATTCTTTATTAAAAATACTGCTGTACACAAAGAGACTGAAAACAGGATTAAAGATGAATAACCCATATTGGGATCATGACATTAGAACTTAACATAATGGTGCTTTTTAGGGAAGTTGCTGACATCCAAATCACAGAACCAAGGTCAAAAGCAAAATACAAAGGTACCCTCAAAAATATTTACAATGAAGTAAATACACTAACAGAATTTAAAATAGGTACAAAAATTTGAAATGACCAATGCTACATGATTTCAAGGGTTGTCCTTTCTGTGCTTTTAACTATCATAACAGGAAAGTATGGAAGTTTATATCCTTAATTTGACTATTTTCCAACATTAAAATCTTCCTATTAATTAAAAAGACTAACTTTTAGACAACCTCTTAAATGGAATTACACTATGGAAAAGAGGGTTCCCCAAAAAACACCTAAGCAGAACTAAGAGTTCTATTGAAAACCATTCCCAATAAAAACTAAATGAAAAATAAATATAAAACAAAGCTTAAAAAAATATGTATAATATTACCTGACACCAACTGTTTTCAGGCTGATGACATTTACTCATGAAAACGTATCAGCTGTCTATGTTTTATATTCAAATCAAGTCCTGAGGTTACTAGGGGCTGAAGCAAACTAGCATTTATAACACAAACATTCTTGGGTTTGTGATTTGAACCTGCCTTGCAGAGGGGAGTTTGCTGGTCTATACAGAATGAGAAATTCAAGCCCTATTTTACCCCTGCCCTTCCTTAGCTTTCACAAAACATTGGTCCACAAATTAAATTGTCAAAAAGTTGCCAGACCCCAAAATGAAAATAGATGATCCCTTTTCATTTTCAAAGAAAACAATATTGGAAAAAAATCTCCAGCCAGCTTATAAATTAAGCATTTCATATTTCTTCTAGAATACAAGTAGTTCTTTTTTGTACAAAAGAATTACAATATGATTTGTCAAAAAACATATAAAAAGACAGCTGCTCTTTCTCAAATACATGAGCTTATGATAAAAGACTTTTGCATGTTAATGTCTCCAAGTTCCTGTTCCTTTTACATAAAAAGAACACTATGGTGGCAAATGTTAATTATCATTTGAATATTAAACATTATGTTCTTTTAAAATCCATCCAGATCAAATGCAATCATTGATTTTCTTTTTAGCAACTGATGCTACCACAGGTGGACTCATTTGTTACAATGTGAGAAGCGTGTCTCTAGTCTTCAAAGCTTTCAGGTGAAGAGAGGTGCTTTTCCTTGATGCAAATCTCAAGGCAGAGAAAATCATTTTAAAGCTTATAAAAAGTGGACAGAGAAATATTAAAAACTTCTCTGAAAACTACAAATATGTATAATCATTAAAATTGAAGACCACAACATCAGTTGCAAGTGCTTGGAAGTCTTTCCTGATCTTTTGAGTTTCCACATTTTCTTCATAGTTGCATGGTGAGCACCCAGTGCTAGTAAAACATTCAGTGCTGGGAAAGGAGATATAGTCTTCATTACTGTTTTTTAAGAAAGAAAATTCCTATGTATTTGGCAGTCTTCAGTATCAAAGTATAAGTATTTCATTAACTAGAAATTCCATGAATACACAAGTTTGGCGACAACTGCATGTCCAAATATTAAGAAAGGTAAGAGGAGGAAAATTCCAAACTTTTGAGATTGACTTATTCAGGAATATCCCACACAGTTATTATTAAAAGCACTATGACTTTGGGCTAAGCAGTGACTGCAAAGGCACAGCAGATCGTTATCCCTCCAGATTCAGGCTATAAAACTCCAGAAGCTCTTGATGCCAGACCACTGCTGTGTTTTTAGCTCATCTTCTGAACAGTGTCTCTGTGTCTGTATCCAGTGTAAAGTACCATAATAAAGCTGTGGTTTAAAGAACAAAACTTTATACAAAAAAAGCAAACTGGAAAGAAGCTAAAGCAATATACTCCTGAACTTCAAGCCTTTAACACAATTTCTCAATTTTTTTCTATTTTAAAAAAGATTGCATAAATGTAAATGTATCTGACTAGCAGGAAACATCTTTTTTACAAAAGGCTCTAGTTAAATTTGGAGCAAAAAGTTCTATGTGCTCCTTCAGTAACTGTTTATCCAATTTTTACAGAAAGGATTTAGATCAAATAATAGGGGAATTCATGTCTAACAATTCACTGATATTTCTTTTTTGTGTTCTTTAAAACAAAACAAAACAAAGATCTCAATTTGAACTAACAGTGGGTGGCATATAGAGCTTGAATACAATATTCTTACAAGAATTAAGCGCTACATTGAACTGTGAAATTATTTACCTGGTCCATTACATTATTCAGGGCAACCCATCCCCAAAAGAGCAAATTCTGCAACCCTCAGTGACAAAAATGCTGTCCAGCATTGTTTCCAAAAAAATACCCTTGCAAATAGATTCCCTTAATAAGAATACAATGTGGCAAAAGTTCAAAGATCAGAAAAAAGTCTTTAAAAAATTAAAATTAGTGCATATACAAAGTGGAAAAAAACCAAAGCTGGAACACCAGTCGCCTAATGATGCTCCTTAATCTCAAATAAATTCTTCACGGATTTGGCCCCAATGGCATCCACAGCTCTAAAATGATTGAAACATTCTTCCTTTCAAGTAACAGTGTACCTGACTGAAATGCAAGCAGCTTTGCTCATCTTCTGTTTGTTTCCCAGATGTGAAATGAGATGATGAAAACCGTTCAGCTGTAGTGCAATTCGCTATAGGTTAAGTTCCTCAGCCATGTCCTGCGTGCTGTTAGCAAATACTACAACTGGCCATTGGCAGCTGCGATCAGTTCTTGAAAAGTGTTTTCAAAGCAGCGCTTTAAGTCACTGTAAGTCACCACCAGTACACTCTTCTCATCTCTGGAAATGAGGCTTATTTTTTCTGGCACACCAGCATCTAACTGAAACAGATACATTAAAAAATATGAAGTTCATACCACACAGATTACCTACTTTAGAACAACTTGCAATGATGATAATCATTTAAAAATTTTTGTCACATTTGTTTCTTGATATACATAAATATTTCATACCACCAATCAGTAGGTACATACTTTTCGCTCAGACGCTTTTCACACAAATGCTGCCTTATTTCTTCTCCCTATCTTTCATGCTTTTCCTAACTGCTTGTATTATACAGTATAACTTAATTATTCCCTCAGTATCTCCCAACTTTTTTGTATCTCAATTACATTGCAATGAACATTTTCATCTACTTAATTTTTGTCATCTGTAGAATTACTTCCTTAGGAGACTTGACACTACACTGAACCAGAAAGTATAAGCAATTTTATAGCCTATTACATACATACAGCCAAATTGCTTTTCAAAGGGTATCAGACACTACTGACTTTTGAGTTGTACCAATTTAGCAGCAACTCAGTATCAAATGAGTGCCTTGCTGTTTTAATTTACGTTATTAACATTACCAAATGCTTTCGTACATCCACTTTTGTTATTTCCACCGTGTGAATGCCAGTTTAATCTTTACCCGCTGATCTATAAGGATTCAGCAGTATTTTCATGAGGTATCTATTAAGTGTAAATATTAATCATTAGTTCATCAAAAACTCATCTTGTCTTCAATTTTTTTTTTAGTTTTTATGTCCATTTTCCTTCTTTCATTAATTAATAAAAAATGTCTAAAACTAAAACTAATTCTGAAGACTCAAACTTAGAAATAATGTTACCAGTTAATTTCAGTTATTTCCACCAAAATAAGCTATGTTAAATTTTAACTTTTATATCATCAATATGGCCATCCCTCCTTTTAATTTATTACTCTCTTTTCCAAATTTAGAAAATTGTTACACTTCCAGATTTGGGATAGATTTTATTTACCATTAGTTATTTTATGAAATGAAATAGAACTTTCTTCAAATTTTCAATGATCTCTGCCTTATTCTATCACATCTACTTGTCAGTGTTTACACCTGTTCTACATAGTATTAGTTGTGATTTTTTGATACTATGGATACTATTTTCTAAAATCTAATAGAATTATTCATCTCTTGTTACCCAAGAAAAACATTTTCCCTTAAGGGAAAAGGGCAAATGAATACATAAATCCTATTGGATCATACAGTTTTATTCTGTTTTGTTTTGTTTTTAATACATTTTATTGATTTTTTACAGAGAGGAAGGGAGAGGGATAGAGAGCTAAAAACATCGATGAGAAAGAAACATCGACCAGCTGCCTCCTGCACACCCCCTACTGGGGATGTGCCTGCAACCAAGGTACATACCCTTGACCAGAATTGAACCCGGGACCCTTCAGTCCACAGAGCCCGATGCTCTATCCACTGAGTCAAACCGGTTTCGGCACAGTTTTATTCTGTTTTAATGTAAGTTATTGACAATACTCTCTCAAAGGTTTTAAGAAAATTCAAACAAGACAAAGTAGTGTTCAAAAACAGATATTTTTCCCGAAGAGTTAACAATGTATGGTAATGTTAACAGTTCTAAATGATGTGGCAGAGCCAGTATTTTCTTCCCTAGTGCTTGTCATTTAGGGACAGTTGACACCAGGGCACAGCAAGTATTTTCTATAAAGGGCCATTAGTAAATGTTTTAAATTTCAGGGCTACATTAAATATCTGTCACATATCTCTTCTTGGTTTTGGTTTTTAAAAACAATCTTTTAAAAATGTAAAAACTATTCTTAGTTCGAAGGCTATACAAAAACAGCCCACAGAATGAATTTGGCCCACAGGGCACACAGTTTGCCAACCCCTGATTTAGATATAAAGCTATACAAAGACTAGGATTTGTTTCTGGAAACCCATTCTAAGCTCTGTAATTCTAAGTAATCCAGAAGGGAAATACATTCATTCCTTCCTCTGTAAATTTTCTCTCTCTTATTAGCCCTTTTTAAAAAAAATATATATTTTATTGATTTTTTACAGAGAAGAGGGGAGAGAGATAGTTAGAAACATCGATGAGAGAGTGTCATCGACCAGCTGCCTCTTGTATACCCCCTACTGGGGATATGCCCGCAACCAAGGTACATGCCCTTGACCGGAATCGAACCCGGGACCCTTCAGTCCACAGGGCCCGATGCTGTATCCACTGAGTCAAACCGGTTTTGGCTTATTAGCCCTTTCAAAAACACAAAGTTTGCCTCTCAAGTAAATTTATGATATATCTTCCACCTAATTTCCCATTTATAATGGCTGGGCCTACTGACATTATAGTATTGTGCTTTTATGATTATAATATCTATAGTTAACAGTAAACGGATTCATAACATGCAGGACATTCAACTTGATTCAGAATGACTTAGGAAAAAAAAATTTCAACTTTTTAAAAATACTTAACCACAGAATTATTTTGCTATTTTCTCACTTGTTTTATTTGATATAACAAAATAACATACAAATAAAATATAGTATAATGGGGTTGGGAAGGCAATCATTTATGACATGTACCACAATAAAAAGACCCACAATGAACATTTTGGTGTTAAAAAATCCTATTCTTAAAATTAAGTAGAGCCCTGGCTGGCTTGGCTCAGTTGGTTGGAGCATTGCCCCATAAACTGAAAGGTCTCGGGTTTGATTCCAGTTAGGGAACATACCTACGTTGTAGGTCTGATCCCTGGGGTGCATACAGGAAGCAACCAAGGGATGTTTCTCTCCCACATCAATGTTTTTCTCTCTCCTTTACCCTCTCTCACTAAAAAAAAATAAAAACATATCGTCAGGTGAGGATTTTTAAAAATTAAGACATCTAAAAATTAGTAATAAAATATTTTGTAGACTATAGAACACATCTTAATTTCTTAAGTCTCTGAGCATTTATAGAAAATCCAACTCTAAAAACTGTAGATAGCATTTATATCTTAAAAATCCAGATACAAATTACCTTGTTAAGACAAGAAATGATATGACTGAGGTCAATCCAAGGAGCACCTGCTTCTGTCACCTGATGGAAAAGATGATCCCTAAAGAGTTTCAACAGGTAACGGTCTCCGGTCTCTGACCAGGTAGGATCCTTCTGAAACCTGAAGAAGGTAACATTTTACCTCAGTAACTCATACTATATGCCACATGGCAATATGCTTATTTTTCTGACTCAAAACTAACTTTATTTTATTTTCTCTAATAAATAAAGGTGTTATATGGGGGATTTGTACCTCCAAAAGTTATAGGTAGGCTAAAAAAATTTTTTTTTCATCTTTTATGCTCATATTGCCCAGGTTTATTTTTTTTAATAATTTCATTTAACATGCAAGTATATGAATATCAGTTTCCAATTCCCAAGGGCAATCGCCCCTTATACATCCCTATTTTAGAATAACTTCCTTATTTAAGCCCCTATCATTAGATAAAATGGGAAAGAAGGAAATGTCTTTAGAAATAGGTTAAAGATTATCCTTTCTTCTCTCCCACCCTCAGATTACAGAGTAGAGAAAGATGGTCAGGTATGTTTTATTGGTGAGCATAAAATAGAAACCTGTTTAGGAAACAAAAAGAGTGTAGATTTTGGTTTCCTACTCTCATGTGATGATACTAGTTAGTTTTCAGCAGCCTTTGGAACTATGGTCCAGTAAGGAAAACAAACATTCAAATAACCAAAAAAAGTTATAACTGCATATTTAAAATAATGCAATTAAGAAAAAAAGATATAGTACAGAACAGAAACATGAATTCTTCTGTAAGATAAAGATAGCTTTCCTTAGGAAGCAGTGGATGCTCTTCCCAAAGGAAGGATGCTCCTTAGTCAAAGGCATCAATATTTGCAAAGGATCACTTAAGAAACTAAGAAAGTCAGTGTAGCTGGGTGGGGTTGGAGGAGAAAAGACAAGAGGGGGAAAAAGGAGTACAACGGGAGGGTTAGAGAGTAAGGACAAGGAGGAGAAAGAAAACTTTAGGACAATGAGTGAGAGGAAAAAAAGAGAGGAGAAAATTAAAAGCAAAAAAGGAAGATCTGAAGCAAAGATAAGAAGAGAGGGGTCAGATTATGCAGCCTTAGGTCATATTAAGACATTAGTCTGCATTCTAAGAACAAGGGGGAGGGGGCACTACATGGCTCAACACAACTATTTGTGTACTTTACAAAGATCATCCCAGGGACTTACAATTAAAATTGATTAAACACACCCATTAATCTGTTTCTTTTCAACCCCCCACCAAATCCATAAAAAATGTCTTTAAAGGGGTGTAAACAAACAAGGACAAAGGAATCAGGAGCAACTATAGCAGAAACGCAGATACACACACACACACATCACATCAGATCACATCAGATCACATCAGATCACATCACATCACATCACATCACAGAAATTTGGAAGGTAGAAAGCAGACAGGTAAGTGATATGACTTAGCAAAACTGAATAAAACTGAAATCTAACACTACAGGGAACACAAAAAGAGGAGATCAGCCATAACAGTGAGGATCAGGGGCTGACATCATTAGGTATTGCTTAAAGGTCTTGGTGTGAACTGAGGCTGGAAACAACATAGTAATAAAAGGTTCCATACACAGCAAACAGATAACCCATCTCTCTACCAGGAATCTTCCTTAAACAAGATGCACAGAGCATCTCCAGCTCCGGTATAACAGGCAAAGCAGGAAATCAGGAACTGAGGAGTGGTGGGTGAGACAATTCAACCAACACTTTCCCCCTCTTTGCCTTCCCAAACCTTGGCTATGAGGTTTATACTACAGAGAGAAGATTGGAAGATTCTCTTCTGGATATGCTGACCTGCCCAACAGATATATGGATGTTTGGAAGCCTACCAAAACAAAACAAAACAAAACAAAACAACAAAAAAAACCCCACAAAAAACAAACAACAACAAAAAACACGCACACACAAGTCATACCTAACAGTATCACACATTCAGCTCTGTCATAATTTCTACCTCCACAAGGAGCTTTCCATTATTTTAGGACCTCATTTTATTTATTTACTAGAGACCCAGCACATGGAATTCATGCACTTGGGGGGGGGGGCGGTGTCCCCTCAGCCCAGATGGTGAGAGGGTGCAGACCAGGCCAAAGGACCCCACTGGTGCACAAATGGGGCAAGGGAAGGACATGGGAGGTTAGCCAGGAGGGCTCAGGGCATGTCTGACCCAACTCATGCAGTCCCAATCAGCTGGACCCCAGCAGCAAGCTAACCTACTGGTCAGAGCGTCTGCCCCTGGTGGTCAGTGAACATCATGCTAAGGTTGAGTGGCCTTAGCATATTATGCTTTGATTGGATGAATGGATGACCAGATGACTATACACTTACCATATTAGGCTTTTATTATATACTAGAGGCCCGGTGCATGAAATTCATGCAAGGATAGGTTACCTAGGCCTGGCTGGTGATCAGGGCCGATCAGAGCCTTCCAGTTGCCAGCCAGAGCCTCCCTTTGTTGCACACCGCCCCTGGTAGTTAGCACATGCCATAGCAAGTGATCAGTCTCTCAGTCAAACTCCCATGGGGATAATTTGCATATTAGGCTTTTATATAAAGGATGTATGTATGTATATTATTTTAGAGAGGGAGAGAGAGAAACATCAATGAGAAACATTGTTCAGATGCCACTTGTATGCTCCCTTCTGGGGACTGAGCCCACAACTCAGACATGTGCCTCCATCAGGCATTGAACCAGCAAATCTCTCAGTGCATGGGATAATGTTTACCCAACTGAGATACACCAGCCAGGGCTAGAACCTCATCTTTAGTATAAATGGACAGCCAAGAATCAAAAATGCTTTAGAGAATAAAACAAAGCAAAGCCAATTGTTTCCTATGAGATATTGCAGGAAATAGAACAAACTTAATACCAAAAATCTCTCATTGATAGCCTTAGAGAAACAAAAATTAGATGCTTTGAGAGAGAGAGTGCTAAAAGTTCTTGAAAATTAAAAATGATAGCAGAAATGTAAAAACTGAAAGAAAAACATTTAATTTTAGATAAAATAACCTGGAATAATTGTCTAGAAATTAGAAAAAAAAATGTGATACTGTAAATAGAAGAGAAATTAGAAAATCAGTTGCAATGTCTAACAGCTGAACAATGGGAATTCCAGCAAGAGAAATTATCAAAGAAACAATGACTACAACTTCCTAGAAGTAAAGAACATAAGTTTCCAAGATGAAAAGGGTTCGTGTGTTGATTTAGCAGAACTAATTAAACTCTCACAGCAAGGCACATCAGTATGAATTTCTGAACATCAGTGATAAAGAAAAGACCCTAACGCATGGTGGGAAGAGGAAGGATTTGGAAAGATAATGGCTTTAAATCTGTCTAGAAGTTAAAAAGATTATGGAGCAATGCCTCAAATTCTGAATGAGATGATCATCACTATTACTCAGCTATGTATTATTAGAAGTACTAGCTAATATAAATCACTCAAGAAGAATTACAAGTATAGAAATTAAAAAGGAAGAAATATTATAATATTTGCATATATGACCATATATCAGAAAACCCAAGAGAATCTACTGAAAAACTGTAAGACAATAGGGCATAAAATTTATAGAAATCTGTTATTTTCATGTACATTTGGTAACAAGCAGTCCAGAAGACAAAATTGGGGGGAAACTCCCATTTATAACAGCAATAAGAAAAATTACCTAAGAATAAACTTCTTATAACTATATAAGGAAGTAAAAAAAAAAAAAATACAAAGACATGCCATTATCTTGATTAAGAGAACTCGTCATCTAAAAAACACAAATGGTCCTTAAGTTTATTAATAAATCTAATGTTATCTTTTCAATAAAAATCTAAAACAAGATTATTATAGAATTTATAAAAAAAATACTAAATGGTTTTAGGAAAACAATAAAAAAAAAGAAAGAAAGAAAGAAAGAAAGAAAGAAAGAAAGAAAGAAAGAAAGAAAGAAAGAACACTAATAGATTCTAAAATGTCAATCATTAAAACAGTGTAAAAGATGCTGCTTTAAACTAGTGGGATAAAGCTGGACTAGTCAATAAATAGTTTTTGGACCACTAAATAGTCTTCTGAAATTCATACCTTACATCCTATAGAAATCCCAAATATATAAGTGATTTAATATTTCAAAAAAGAAACCATAAGTATTCTAGAAGAAAGCATGAGATAATTCCTTCATAATCTTACAATGGAAAAGACCTTCCTAACTATGACTCAAAATATAAAGACATAAAGCAAGTTTCATCAATTAGACTACACATATAAATTCCTGCAGGGGAAAAATTAAGCAGTCAAAATTAAAATTAAAATTTTTAAAAATCACAGGGCAAATCCCTCTTGATCCTATATATCACAGAAACCAGACAATCCAATTAAAAATAATAATGAGCAAAGGACAGAAAAGGACAAAAATGAATAGAAAACATAAACGATAGGCAATATGCTCATTAAGAATAAACAAACGGACAAATAAATAAGGTTATATAAGGCAGTCAGAGAAAGTCAAATATCACATGATCTTATTCATATGTAGAATCCAATGAACAAAGTAAACTGATGAGCAAAATAGATCCAGAGACATAGAAGCATGGAACAGAATGCAGTATCTAAGGGAAGGTGGGGAGGGTCAGTGGGTGGGAAGTTATCAAAGAATATATGCATAACCCATGGATATACACAATAGGGTGGTGAAGGCATGGAGCAAGGGGCAGGGGCAGGCTAGAAGGGGTCAATGTGGGGGAAAGGGGGACATATATAATACTACCAACAATAAAGATTTTTTTTAAAAAAATGAATAAAATACAAAATAAAACTGCATTTATCAAGTTGACAAAAATCCAAAAAGTTTGAAAAAGTATTGTTAATGATAGACTCTCATGTATTATAAACCTTCTGTAATAGCTACCAAATTATAGGGACATTCCCATTGACCTAACAATCACAATTAGAACTATATTTATATACACACACAATTAAGAATTTAAGTGAGTCCCTACAACATTGTTAATACTGGCATAAATGAAAACAACCCAAATGCTCATCAATAAGAACTAGAGAAATACTGCAACCCCACAGTGCCTCAACCTCCCCCAGCCAGCCTGGCCCCAGATGCCTCCCCCTCCCCCCATAAGTGGGTGGGTTCAGCTCTAATAAGCAGCGAGCCTGGCTTCTGGTTGAGCTACACTCTCCTCCCCCTCCCCCACTCCCGGGCTCACCCTGGCAAGCACAGCAGAGGTGACGTGAGCCTTTAATACCTCCACAGCAGGCAGGTAGTAAGAAGCAAGGGGTCATGGACTGTGAGAGGTCACAGGTAGGGCTGAGCCTTCCTTCCCCCAACCCCACCTTCCACCCCAGCACAAATTTTGTGTAGCGGGCCTCCAGCATACTAGTAATAAAAGGCTAATATGCAAATCAACCAAATGGTGGAAAGACCAGTTGTTATGACACACACTGACCATCAGGACTCAGACGCTCACTGCAGGAGCTGTCCCCTGGTAGTCAGGGTGCTCCCACAGGGGGCGATCATTCAACCAGAAGCCGGGCTCATGGCTGGCAAGCGCAGCAGCAGTGGTGGGAGCCCTCCCAACTCCGTGGCAGCGTTAAGGATGTCTGAAGGCTCCTGGACTGCAAGGGGGCACAGGCGGGCTGAGGGGACACCTCCACCTGCCCTCTCCCTTCCTCCCCAATGCACAAAGTTCTGGTTTAGTCATACCTAGGAAGTGTGTATAAGAAATTAATAAAGGTTGGTGGCAGAAATTGGGGAGATTGGGCATATCAAGTATAAAAGAGAAATTTTATTATTTTTATGGTAAACCATTTTCTGCTTTTAAAAAATGTGTTTATATATAATCTACTCAAAATATTTAATTAACAAAAATGATTTTCTGAGGACAATCTAAAATTTTATACCCAATCATACTATTAATAAAGTGTGAAAGTAGCAAAAAAGATATTTTCAGACTTGCAAAACTAAAAAGCTCACCTTTCTCAGGAAGCTACAGGAGAGTATTCTCTATTAAATAAAAAAAGAATAAACCAGGGAAAAAGGCAAGAAACAGGACATCTAACACAAATTCCCAGGATAAAAGTGAAGGGAAGTTCCAGTTCTAAAGTGAGTATGAGCAGAATAAAAGTGCAATCAGCCCGGATAGGATCAGGAGGAAAGAGGCTACAGGGGCAATTTCTCTGAGCGGGGAGGAAAAAAAACTGATAGGCTGCCTATTTTTTTGACCCCATGGAAAGATGTTTTATAATTCAGGCAGTGTGTTTGGAATAAACTGACTGTAAGTAGTTTTTCATTTAATAGTTACCTATATAAGATCATTATTAACTCCATGAAAACAAAAATAAAATATAAAAGAAATAGTTATGGTTACTAAGTATGCAGCTATTAACAATATTTACCTTCTTATAAAAATGTCAAGATTTAACTCAAAATTTATGGATTAACTGTGTGTGTGTGTGTGTGTGTGTGTGTGTGTGTGTGTGTGTGTGTTCAGTTAAGGGAAGAGATGTGAAAATTGAAGCATCTTCCTAGGACAAAATCGTTTGCTTAGTTAAATGATGAAAAAAAATCAAGAAAAAGTACCATAAGCATATATCTATAATAATAAAAGCATAATATGCTAATTAGACCAATAGCCAAACGTCCCACATTCTGGACAAAGCCGGGGCTGCAAGGGCCGAGGCAAGCTTCTGCAGCTGCGAGGGCCAAGCCTCTTACACGAATTTCATGCATTGGGCCTCGTTTAAAAATAAAGAGTTAAGTGCCAGAAGAAACATAAGAGTTCCTAAAATGTGATTCAACATAGTTATGTTCTCTTTATATAGAAAAAATTACTAGCAAAAATACTGAGTCTTTTAAACTTGAAGAAATATAAGTGAACTTGAATCCTATAGTCAAAAAAATCCCCCAAGTAAAGACATTTACCTATTTTTATGAACAGAAGTAACATTCCTGAACTGTAATTTACATTGTAGTCACAATAGCTGTGATACTGCCCAAGCTGTGTTTGATAGTTAAGCAATTCAAACTTCAATTCTGATTCTTTCTTGAACATATGATTAACTTAACAAATGAGGCAGAACTAAATGGCAAATAATGTAAGACGGTGATAGCACTGATATGAAACAGAAGATAAGAGACATGCAACAATTAGAGATTTCTGAAATCTCTAATCTGACCTGAATTGACCAAACTTCAAAACAGAGACAGGGTTAAGGCAATACTGATCACCATCAACTGTCCACTTCTGTGCAAACCACACTGGAGATCTAACACAGTATATTTTCATTATGTACGTATATATGTGAAATTCTTAAGGACAACCATGCCTAGGCTATAGTTTAAAAACAGCCCCCTAATTAATGATTAACAATAGGCTTAAAGTTACTTCACATGAGAATTTTTCCCTTTTCCAAATAAAACCAGTTAAGGATAAGGTATACCCAATCTTATTATGCAAATCATGCCCTTGATTGAAAGCGTGTTATAAAATACTGTAAATCCTTACTCCGGCCTCTCATTGATTGTTCCCAATTTTGCTAGAAGCCTAAACAGTCTTCCATTTTGAACCTCCTATAAAACATTTTAAAAAGAGACAGAATATTAATGTTCGAGCTAACTGAATATAAAAGCAAAAGTTTACAAAAATTGGCAACCCGCACCAATATTACCTTTGACCAACAAATCCTAATATTCCAATCTCTGGTTATACTTTTAAATACAATGTGCCCATGCCATTCAATAGTAATACTCGATTATACAGGTGGTCATTTTTTAAAGTTTTGTTAAAATAATTCACGTGGGAGAAAAAGTCAAATGAATGTAGCAAGACCATGAACAAAAAGAAGTAAACAAATGCCACATAGGAAATTAAAAATACTACTCATTAAGTGTGGACAAAGATATGTGCAATCTTAGCCAAATATGCACTACATTCTGCACAATAATTAACATGCTTATTATTGATTTATACAGAGACGCAAGCCTGTATATAGGCTCTTAAATGCCCTCTTTACCTTTGCAAGGTCCTCCTCTATAACATCATTCCTCATTTGAGCAGCATCCAATTGAGTATAAAATCGAGCACCGATCATGGGCATGATGTCATTAACACTTCGCATCCTGTTTTGATCAGTCAACAGATACCTACCCAACATGAAGAAGAATTACTTGAATGCCAAACATGCAATTTGAAAAACAACATAACCCACAAGCATGTAGCTACCATTGCTGCTATCAAATCAGTACACACAATTTTGCAAAAAAAATTTTCATGCAAGTCAGGTTCACTTTTCTATGAAAAATCTTAAGAGCCAATGGAGAAAACTGTAAACGTGTCTCTTTCTCTGCATTTTTACTTTTTATTACAAAAATGAGAAAGAAAAATTGAATAGGGTTATACTTACCATTTCCATTCTCAAAACGTTCTTTATAATAGTGAGAGATGAAAAGATTGCCACACATTTTTTTGAGAAGTAAAATAGGGGTTGGCTATAGGAATTCCTCAACAATAATTTCTGAAACTAAACCTGGGTCTTCAATTTTGATAAATCAAATAAGACTCAGCTTTTTAGGAAGCTGTTCTCTGCTCTGCAACTTCATTTAGCAGCTGTCACGGTATATTTATTTCTGAGAAATCTTCATGTGCTAATACACATCAGAAGAGACCAATTAAATTTCTTCTATCATTACAACTAAGGCAGAAAAAAATTTGTTTCGAAGGGCCACATTTTAGAACACAATAATAATTAATCACCTATTATTGCTCATCTGATAAGCCATTTTTTAACCCTTCTCATTAAAGAAGCCTCCCACTCATTCACTCTTTGCTTATACTTGTCTTATTTTCTTCATAGAGTTTATCATTATCTGCAAACATCTTACTTGTTCACATGTTATTAACTCCTCCCCATTAAGACTGCAGCTCCAGAAGATGAAAATTTTATGCATCTGTTCAAAGCATCTTTAGCATCTGGCATATAGCAGGCATTCTTTCATTGAATAAATGAATGGCTATATTCATGTGGACAATCGATATCTTACCTATTCATCTTGTAACTATTGACTTATTTACATCTAACTACTCATTTTGCAAGCTACATGACTTTGGTAAGTTACTTTACCTCTCTATGTCTCAGCTTTGCCACCTTTAAAATGGGACTAAAAATGGTACCTAATTCCTAGGGTTCAGAAAGAATTAAGAGACTTAATTCATATCAATCAGTTTGAAAGTGCCTGATACATGGTTTACTGCTCTATAAATTTGTTATTGGTTAAAGTATGACTTTTGCTGATTCACTTTTTTTTAAGGAAAATTTCAAAATTTACATAAATAGAGAATATTACTAAATCTCCATGTACCCATCACCCAATTTCAAAAATTGATAATATGTGTTCAACTCTGTTACATTTATATCCCTTTTTTCTCTCCTTTTTTAAAAGGAAATTTTGAAGATTATAACTTGAGATTAGAGACATCCTAGGTGTTGCAAACTAAGGCCAGAAATCACAGTTGTGATCATATATGAAGCAAATATTTTCACTTAAAAGAGAAATCACCTTATTTGATTATTAATAGGAAACAGGTATCACTGGCTCTGTCACAAACAAAGACACTTATGCCAATGTAACAAAGCACAGGTGAGTAGCCCCATCCTCCATCCCTCAATTCCATACCCCAAGGCCAGTCCAAAAACAAATGGAATCATCCAGGGCTACAAGAAAAATCAGAAAGAACAGCTGGAAGCTAAAGAGAGATTGAAAAGGATCAATAAGCTCTAATTGCTTCTAGAACATAATATGATAAAGTGCAATAGAGACTTCCTATTCCTAGCATGTGTTCTCTAGAATAACTTATAATAAGGTTTGTCTGGAATTTCCAAATTTTAGAGGTATCTTGGACAGGGAGCAGTCCTTCTGCGGTGACAGTAGTCCACAGTGGGTTTTCTTAGACCAAATTTATTTCAAACCTGCACACAAGGTTCCTTGGAGTTTGAAGATACTAAAGAATCAGAGACCTTTACATATACGTTTTCTGGAATAGATGTTCTGGCCATAGAGTATGGTAACTGATCACACCTGAGGTTTATTTATGACAGCTTTCACAAAGATAATGACCACCCTCTAGGGCAGTGGTCACCAACCAGTGTTCGTGGACCACTGGTGTTCTGAGGTCCGAAAGGTTGGTGACTGCTGCTCTAGAGCGGCTCTAACAGAACTTTCTGAGATGATGGAAATGTTCTATGTCTACACTGTCCAATATTAGCCAGGAGCTACGAGTGGCTTTTGACCTCCTGCAAAGTGGCTAGTGAAACTGAAGAACTAAATTTTATTTCATTTTAACTAGCTTAAACTTAAAAGGTCGTATGTGGCTAGTGGATACCAATGCAGCCTTAGAGGGTATTCTTTGGCAAAATGTTTAAAACATCAGTAACTGATTTAAACACACTGGTTTATAAATTTATTCCAAGAAATATATACTTAGCAATAAAAATAAATTACAAGTTGCTTAATTGTGTTTTGCCTGATTTTAAATAGCAGACAGTAAAATAAACAGAATCACTATTAAAAGACCCTTATGAAACAGCTGTCTTATCTCATATGACCATTATACATGTTTAATCATACATTAAAACTTACAAAATCAGATTCTTCAGGTCAGAAGAGTAGTTGATTGTCACCAGTTCCATGGCTTTCTGTAAATTCTCTCGCTGAATTCCTGCCAAAGAGTTGCAAGCCAAAGCCAACACAACTTTTCCTAATGATATCAGATCTGCTTGCTGACATGGAAGAATAAATATATCTTTTAATTTTTATCTTAAAGATACAAATTTAATACACCCACACTATTGCCTGCATGGAAAAAGTCCTTATACAAAGAAGCTGCAGAGCTCAGCACAGGGAGTCTCAAATATTAATGATCATCAGAATCAGATGGGAGCTTATCAAAAAGAATTTCTGAGCTCTACCAGAGATTCTCATTCAATAGGTCTGGAAACAGGCCCAACATTGTTAAAGTACCCAGGTAATTCTGACGAACGTAGTTCTAGGCCTACACTTTTATTTAAATAGAGCTGATTCTCATAATTATAAAAAATTTAAGGCTGGTTACTGTATACTTGCTTGAATCTGATCATTGCCATTTATGATATGCATTCTCTCATTTTCAATGACTTCTAAAACATAGCGTGCACTTGAAAATTTACTTAAAGAAAACTTATTCCATTATTCCAAACACATCAACCATTACCTGATTTCTCAAGTATGTTCTTTAGGACCCTGAAAATGCTGCCAACCCAATGATATCCCTTCTGTTGATGTTCTAAACAGACAATTATATTCCCACGGCAAAAGATCTGGGAGCTCCCTAACCACCTAGTTTTCTACGTTTTTTTTGTGTGTGTGTGTTTTTTTCCCCTTCTTCTTCCTTTTTTCAAATTTACCAGTCTGAGGCCTTGCTTCTGAAAGGATTTTCAAAAAACAGCGAGATGAATTGAGGTAAGCTCTTCTTTACCTACCTATTATAACTCCATGAAACAAAATGGTCACCTCAAAAGGCCCTGCTTGGCAGACAACTATTAATAAGCACATGCCTGGGAGAATGCAGCAGCTCAGAGTTAAGTGAAATCATCTAAAGTAATTTCTACAAAAAACTTCGGTAAATTTTCAAAATCTGAGATCTCATCTGAATTATTGGATACATGTTCATTTACTGAATATTCGTTTAGTAAGTTTTCGAACTTAGCTATACATTAACATCATCTGAGGAGCTTAAAAAATAAAAAACAAAAACCGCCAGTGTTCATCCCCTCATCTCACTTCTGATGTCATTAGTCTGGGGTAAGATCTAGATACTGATAATTTTCAATGCTTCCACAAGAGATTCTGATATACTGCCAGGGTTGAAACCTACTGGAATGTTTATAATGGTATATTTGTGACATTAGGAGAGGATTTCAAGGCAATCATTAATGAAACTTTAGCGCTATATAACTATCCTTAGCAACATTCTACCCAAATAATAAAGTATAAAAGGAAGTTAAACTCCATTACTAAAATAACATGAAAGAATTCAAATTTAAAAATTTACCCCAAACTAGCATTTGTGAATCTGACACTATGAACGTTAAGATCTCATAATCTGTGGAAAAGCTGATTAGAAAAACAAGCTACTCTGAATCTGTAAGAACAAGAGATATCAAGAATGCATGCCAGAACTTAGAACTTCATTAGAGGTACAGAGTTAGGAGCCAGAGGAAGAAGGGAAGGTAGCATAGGAAAGGTCACTGCTGCCATCATTTCGTTTCTTTCTCTGGAGGGCATTGCCATGAACAAACTGAAGAAGGATTCCCCTCAGTCATTCTCAAGATCAAGTAAACATTCCAAGTTACATTAAATGAAATTATAAATCACTGCATGTAAATACTAACTGGAAATTTCTCTAAGTGTTGCAATCCATTGTCGTCAGCAAAGCACAATGAAGGTTATTTATCAAGTATGAGAGCAGCATGTACCAACACACAACCTTCCAACCCTTAAAACAGTAGAATTTTCAGGTTAGCTCCACTCTGAACTGATGCTCTAACTACTCCTCCACATAGAACATCCCATTAATCCCTCACACAAGACAGGAAAACAAAAATACAGGAGAATTGAACGACTGATGTGTTTAAGGAATAGCAGCATCTGACTTAAGTACTTCCTACCACATTCTAAAACTGACCAAAGGTAGGAGGTATTCACTTTAGAAATAAAATGTACATGTCACATAATCCAGATTAAATTAGAACTATTTTTAAAATAAAAGACATTAATCAAGTCCTGTTAATTAAGAAAGTTTAATATCATAAAAACTCTGTAACTCTTCTTTCCTTATTTCCCAGCTAAATAATTTTCCAGTTTTATTTTGCTTCTTACCTCCATCTGGTTTTCCCCCCATTTGTTGAATTCTGGAGGTTTTCCCCCCAACTCATTTTCAGTTTCTTCCTGATTCTTGATTTCTTGATTTTTTCTGATTCTATCTATGGCTCTACTTATGTCCATTTTACTGAAAGTCAGTCTCTATTCACGTGTCTGAAACAGACTATGAAAAATAGACTACAAGAAACAATGTACTCCTTTCTCATGTGCCCTCTTCGCTATAAAATCACAATCCCCTCTTTGGAACTATTTTTAATTCTCTCTGTTACCTTACTATAAGCTAGATAAGAAATATTCCACACATATATAGCACCCCCAAAAATAAAGAAAATAGGATATATCCTTTACTACTGAAAATAAAGGGACAGTGACAACAGGTGAAAGTAGCCTGAGTTTATGAATTAAGGAGTTGTTTAACCTATCAGTCAATAGCCTCAAATGCTTACTTAAAAGTTATTTGTTTGTAACTCTGAGGTTACTTTTTCTTATGAAGAATTGTTTTTTAAAGTTAACTTCACAACTTGTAACATAACTGAAGTAATGTACAGTTTGCAAAGAAAAAAAATGTGAAATAATACTGTTGTGACACTAACGGGGGGAAAGATTTCCTTTGTACTAGTAATTAAAATAAAGGAAACTCTTCAGAATAGAGAAGAATAAGGAGATACTGTATGGCTGTTTTTTTTAAATGTAGACATGAGGCTTCCAAATACTTGCAATAGAGATTGATGGCACTAGTTCTAAATTTCTCTTCCAAAGTTTAATATTTTCCTGATATATGAAAATCACTAGTATTTTTAACAGCCAATAATCAGTCACTTTTAGGAGCACAACAAACTATATAAAGAACAATTTTCAGAGCCAATTAGTCAATAAATATAAGATAGAAGATAAGGAAAGTAGGTAAGGAACAATCATCCTAGATTTAAAAAAGAAAATACAAAGGAGGAGCAAATCTCTAAGGCAGAAAGGAAGCTGCTGCCACTGGGGGGAAAGTAGCAGATTCTTCCACGCAGCGGCCTCTAAGAGGTGCGACCTATCAGGACAGTTTGGCTGCTACTGAGGTTAGGTGGGCACAAGCAGAGCGGGAGACATGAAAGGTCTGCATACAGCTAACTGAATGTGGAGAGTAGCTTCAACTCTGGGACTGCACTGCCTGTGGAAAGAGAAGGCTGGGCATGAACTGGAATACTAAGCACTACGCAGACTCTACTTCTCAGTCTGTTCTTTCTTTTTTGTTCTGAAATTTTGTCTTATGATAAAGTGAAATGAAATCTTTCAAGATTTAAAAAAAAAATGTTGAAATGAGAAGGATAATGGGAAGGTAAGGTATCCTTGTTTTTCCATGAAATAAGAAGACATTCTGCCTTATATCAACTTCTGTAAGTTAATAAATATTCATAAACAAAAAAGTTTTTTACACTAAGAGAACGTTGCCTTAAAATGACAGTTGAATAGCCTCCGAAAAATGTATTGTAATACAAACTGAATAATCTGAAACATTACTTTAAATAGCATATCATTTGCACAAAGTAATCAGGGCAAAAGCAGCTACATTTAACACTCCTTGCAGAGGTAAGTTCTTATTCTACACCTTAGGATTAATCAAGAAAAAAAGAAATAAAAAGCTAAGTACATAATGGGACCTAAGTCCAAACTATTATTATGAAATCATACTATAATCAAACTCTGATAATGTATAAGAAGTGATAGGCCTTAACTAAGCAAAAGAAAAAAATTACTTAAGAAATGACAATACAACACATTCTTTGAAAGTATTTCTAAAATTTTCAGATTGGTAGTGGGACAACTGTTCTAAGAGTAAAAAAGTGAAAAAGTGAAATCTCGTTTAATTCATTCAGCTGACCAACTAATCTGTTTTAATTCTGTTAAGGACAAATATCCTAATCATATAAATACATTTTCATTTGAACAGCTAGAGTCATTAATTCTGCATATTCCAATTTATGAGGGCTCTATACTAAATACATCAGTGATTAAGAAACACATGTTCAAAGTTTGCATAAAAATCACCCAGAATAAATTAAAATCTACACTTAAAACCCTGGCATACTTTAAAATAAACAGAATTTGTCTTTAAAAAAAAAAAAAAAAAAAAAAAAAGGACTAAGCCTTAAGTTATTAAGTAAGTATTCACGTTAATTCTTACTCACCTGGTATTGAGCCATTAATGCCAATGGATTATTATTCTGGCTGTTATCAAATGTTAAGACATCAAATACACCAACACAATTTACTCGCAACCTTTAAAGATCAAAAATTTAAAGAAAATAATTAAAATGAGATTTTGAAAATTTCACGCTAGTGGAAATTTGTAATTTCCTATAATATTTGGAAGAATCTCAGAATATTATCTACTCTGTCCTACTCCTAACCTTCTGTCCTACTTCCATTTAGCCTCTACTAATGACCATTTTAGAGATGAGAAACTAAGGCTCAAAGATATTAAGGTTATAAAAGTCCGTTACCAATAAATCCAAAACTGTATCTTTGACTACCAACCCAGTGGTCTTTCCACTGTACCAAGCTGCTTTGTTCATGTAAAGAGCACTACCTAGCATCCTAACACTTGCTGAAGATATATTAGCCAACATTAAAGCATCTTACATGTGTTAATTCATTCAATCCTCTCAATAATTTTATGAGACAGGTCCTTAAAATGTAGTAAATGGTGAGTAGACTATCCATCTTATAAGGTTATTGAACACATAGAAATTAAGGAACTTGTTCAGAGTCATAAAGACAGCAACTAGCAGAGCCAGGAAGTTAAGTCACCTGGTACTACATCTTGAGTTCTTCATACTACAATGCCCAAGACAAGACTCAAAATTGTAACTCAAATGAAACTCTGCTGAAGTTAGGGTCTGTCTACTTTATCAGTGGTTCTCAAAGCATGTGACCCAATCAGTAGCAACAGGAACTTGATGGAACTTGATGGAAATGCAAACTCTCAGGCCCTGCTCCATATTTACTGAATTAGAACTCTAGGTTCAAATTTGAGCCCAACAATATGTGATAAATAAGCCCCAGGAAATTCTAATTCAAGCTAAAATTTGAGAATCACAGTTGTACAAAGAGAAGTTGTATTGATATTACTTATATATCCCCCCAACCCTAACCATACATACCTCCAAAACCCTTACAAGATTCTTGGTTAATAACCAGGCTTTTTTTTTTTTTTTTTTTTAGAATTCAACATTTTTAAATTTAATTTTATTTTTTTAATTACAAATGAATTCAAAAGTCACAGCAATTCTTCTGGATGGAATATATGAAAAGGTAAAATTAAAACAAATTATCATGCTTTGTTTAAAACCAGTCATAGGTTAAATGTACAATAAAGAAGCCAAAACTCAAAATGCTAGTACCTTGTTTTGCCAGTTATCAGAATCTTTGTTGGGTCCATAACTCGACATGCCAAGCCTGCTGTGTGAACGGTACGTAGTGCAGAACTCAATTGGACAATATATGCCCAAATAAGAGATTCTGGCAATAATCCTGCATGCTGTCTGGGCAATGGTCCATCATGTTGACCTATAAAGCAAATAATAATTCTAAAAATTTATTTAAGTAATCAACTAAAAGAATAAAACATTCAAACCAAAATTAACAGAAAATAATAACTTATATTCATGGCATAATTTGTCAATTTATACATATGTATACACGTAAAATTTAAGTTTAGTCTATAAGTAAGAAGGGACAAGACCAAAATTTCCCAATTTGAGATTATACCTTTATATTATTATTAGCAGCAGAGCTCTCATTGTTATTTTCTGTGACCATTGTAATTACTGAACAAAAATTATTTTAAAAATCTATATTTAATTGTGAACCAAATAAATATAAATTTGATTAAAAACAGAAACTGTAGACATTGTTATTTAATTTAAAATATGGATAATCCTACCTTATATTATTGTTTAGGCATGTGAGATCTGTTCATTCTGTGGCTTAAGGAAAATAAAAGTCTCTACCATCATTTATACTGAATGTTTTCCTAATTCTTCTACTGCTTGGCCAAGTCAGTTAGATATGATAACATCCAATTCACAAAAACATGAATATAAAACACTAAATGTCATTTATGGTAGCTAAAACACAAAACATCTGGTCTACTTTAAAGAGTTATCATTTTGATTCTTGTATGCTGGAAGCCAAGATCAATAGTAATTAATACAAATTTGTGAAGTCAGGTCAGAGGCTGAATGGGGCTTTGATATTCACAGGGCTGAATATCTGCATTTTATTACCTGCTATTGACTCAATGGCAATCTCCCTAACCTGATAATCCCCTTTTACTATTTACTAAAACATTACCATTGATATGTCTGTTTGCATGCCTAAAAGGCAATTGTATATTCTAGTAAATAAAAAGAAGATGGGTGTAGAGATTCAATGGAGCTTAGTCCCTTAAACTAAGTTCATAATTGGCTTCCCCCAAAATTTCCAAATTTATATTTCTTGTCTTGTGTATTAATTTGCACATCAGTTCTCTCTCTAGGCCTTTGAACCTAGGCCACACAGGCCCTGCTTTTACACTTGTGTTTCCTGATACTATTTTCTGAGTCATTGTTAATTCTTGTATCAGTAGAAAAGAAGCTATATAAATTTAATCCAGATTTTGTAGTTATAGTAGTACCCCCTTTCTTGTAGTTTCATTTTCTGTGGTTTCAGTTAAATAATGTTGACCACGGTTAGAAATTAAATTGCCCCAATAATCAACATCTTCTGCTCCTGACATCCAGCTATCGACATTGTCATGGATCAATGATACAGAATCTCCTGAAGCAGAAGATTCTCCTAATATATCATCAAAAAGGTAAATAGTTCCCTTTATCACAATACCTGTCATTCACCTCACTTTATCGCATCACCATAAGCATTTTATCATCTCACATTATCACAAGAAGTACAATGTATTTTAAAAGAGAAAGATAGAGACCACATTCACATAACTTTTATTACAGTTTATTGTTACATAATTGTTTTATTTTTGGTCATTGTTATTAATCATTACTGTGCCTAATTTATCATAGGTATATATAGGAGAAAACATCATACAATACACACACACACACACACACACACACACACACACACACACACGGAATTTGGTACTACTCCTAGTTTCAGGCATCCACTATGGGTCTTGGAATGTATTTCCTGCAGATAAAGGAGAACTACTGTATTTCTTTTTTAATTTATGGAAGAAGAATTTTTTTTCTAACTATTAATTTTTTGACAGAGTGGGAGAGAGAAAGAGACAGAGAGAGAGCAACTTCAATGTGACAGAGAAACATCAATCAGTTGCTTCCCACGTGCCCTGTCCAGAAACCAAACCCAAAACCTGGGTTAAGTGCCCTCATAGAAAATCAAACCATCAAATAGCCCTAGCCGGTTTGGCTCAATGGATAGTGTCCACCTGCAGACTTAAGGGTCCTGGGTTCGATTCCAATCAAGCGCATGTACTTTGGCTGCAGGCTCCTTCGCAGCCCAAACCCTGGTAGGGGCTTGGGCAGGAGATAACCAATTGATGTTTCCCTCACATGGATAGTTCTCTTTGTCTTTCCCTCTCTCTTCTACTTTCCCTAAGAATCAATGGAAAAATATCTTCGGCTGAGGACTTAAAAAAACACACCAAATAACAGGCACACCACCCAGAGCAGGGCTAATGTATTTCAGAGAATATAACCTTATAAATCCAAGTGTTCATATGGTTTTAACAAACCTTTTGTCAATCAGATCTAAAGACAGTTAAATGGTTAATTGTAGAGATACTAAATAGTAATTAGGTAGTTTTGGCTTGCCTTAAAATTTCTAGGAAAAAGCAAATTTAAAATTCAAAAACTGCCATCCCTCAATTTAGATAGAACTAAAGATAAAATCTGGCCCAGAATCTGGCATGACTCAGTGGTTGAGCATCATGAACCTGGAGGTCAGGGTTCGATTTCCTGGTCAGGGCACATGCCTGGGTTATGGGCTTGATCCTCAGTATGGAGCATGTAAGAGGCAGCCAATTAGTCATTCTCTCTCACCATTCATGTTTTCTCTCTCTCTCTTCCTCTCTGAAATCAATAAAAATATTATAATAAAAAAAGATCATAAAACCTGGAAAACGTGTTAGATGACTTAGAATGTATCTCTAGTGATAAATGCCAAGAAAATGTCAAAGACAATGATAAAGAATGTAAATAAAACTATTTATTAAATGTGATAATAAGGAAAAGGAATATTTATAACAAACTAGAAGTCACGTGCATGAATTCATGCACCAGTGGGGTCCCTTGGCCTGGTCTGTAGAATCGGGCGAAACCAGCTACCAACATCCCACAAGGGGTCCCAGATTGCAAAAGGGCGCATCCAGGCCAAGGGACCGCACTGATGCATGACTGGGGCTGGAGAGGGATGCAAGAGGTTGGCCAGCCTGGTAGGGACTGTGGGAGGGCTCCAAGGTGTGTCTAACCCGTCTCGCTCAGTCCAGATCAGCCAGACCTCAGAAGCAAGCTTATATACTGGTAGGAGTATTTGCCTCCTGGTGGTCAGTGCAAGTCATAGTGACTGGTCAACTATCTACCCCTGGTAGTCAGTACACATCACAGTAAGTGGTTAAGTGGCCTTAGCATATCATTAGCATATTACACTTTGGTTGACCGGATGACTGGACACTTAGCATATTGGGCTTTTAATATATAGAATATGTCCTTACTATGTTCCAGATACTGTCTAGTTATATATCCACATTTTAAACTTCTAATCACAACTCCTATATGGTATGGTATTATTATTATTACCATTTTCTAAATTAGCATATTCCATACAATATGCAGTTTTTCATGGTAATTAATAAATTAAAAAGTATAAGAAAACATTAGACTTCCATCTATGTCTCTACAAGTTTATACAAACATTGGCCTTTATTTTATTTTTTTAATGTTCACATTGGAGAGTAAAGGTGGTGGAACAGGTAAACAGCACTTGCCTCATCCTATAATAACATCAAACTTACAACTAAATGTCAGAACAATCACGATTCAGAGCCACCTGAAATCTGACTGAAGCTAAATCCTACCACTAGAAAATTAAAGAAGCCACATTGAGACTGGTAGGAGGGGCAGAGATGTGGAATAGGTTAGCCTAACATCCATGTGTGGCATTATTTTAATCCAGAGGGATATCTTGTCTGTGGAAGTACAATCCTAAGGATCAAGGGTTCCAGCCCTACTCAGGCCAGGGATCCAGTGCCAGGAAGATAAGTCCTAGTAATTTCAGGCTGTAAAAATCAGCGGGTATTATGGCTGAGTGACACAAAGGCTGCCAGAGTCTCTCCACTCCTTCTAAGCTTCAGCACTAGAGCAGTATATTGGAAGGATCCAGGGACATATAGGGGAGGGGGAGCTAAATTGTCTGATATCAGAGCAAGAACTGGGGGGTCAACTTTCTCCCAAACAAAAGTGTTGACAGAGATCTGCCGTTGTGGCTCAGTGGTTGAGCATCGACCCAGGAACCAACAGGTCACATGCTTTGGTTGCGGGCTTGATCCCAGTAGGGGCCATGCAGGAGGCAGTCAGTCAGTGAAGTTTCTCTCTCATCAACGTTTCTATCTCTCTATCTCTCTCTCTAAATATCAATAAAAGCTTTTTTTTTTTTTTTTTTTTTTTTTTAAGTTCTAGCAGAGGTCATTGTTCCTTTTTCTTTGCCAAGACCTCCCTGCCACTGAGCCAAACATCAGGCATCCATTAACCTGGTCCACATTGTTCACCTCAGCCAGGTGATTCCCTGAAACCCTATCCCACCGAAGCTGTTTGCAGTGGTTTTCCCAAATGAGTGGCCTGTTCTAGTTCAGGCTACATACTTGCCTAAAAATCTCTCAAACAAGCAGCAGCTGGACTCAGTATGCTCCACACCTTAAAATATGTACTTCTAGGCCCAGCACCTGCAGCAGCCTGCCTTAGTTCACAGCTTGGCCACTACTGAGTACCTCCAAGCCCAACACCAATAGCAGCCATCTTCAGATTGCTCTATACATCATGCAGGATGGCCTCAGGCAGGCCACAGGCAGTAGCTGACTCTGTACCTCCCAGGAAGCCCAAGAGCCAGTACACCCAGTGGTTAGCTTTAGACCAAGCCAGATTATAACCCTACCACATCCACGAGCAACACACTCAAGGGGCAGACTCTGAGCACCAAAGCCCCACTGAAGCAAATTTTAGACCATCGGGGGCTCTCCTGCAAAGCAGCTCTTCCACTGCAGTAGCAGCTGGTCCTCAAAGCCGACTGACCTCAGGGTTAATCCCTTCCAGTGATGCCAGCATAATCAAGGCTCAATTACAATAAGACAGTGCAATCAGTTGCCTCCTGCATGTGCACTAACAGCTCATATAGGGGTGCACCTGGAGTGCCCAGCTCAAGTACCTGGAAGGCTGAGCCCCTGGGCCCTATAGAACACCAACTACATAAGGCCACTCTACCAATTCCAGGAGACATAGCAGCTCTACCTAATACATAGAAACTAACACAGGGAAGCAGCCAAAATGCAAAAAAACATGTTACAAATAACAGAAGAAATTGCCAGAAAAAGAACTGAATGAAATGGAAGCAAGCAAACTACCAGATACAGAGTTCAAAACAATGGTTATAAGGATGCTCAAGGAATTCAGTGAGACCTTCAAGGAACATAGTGAGGAATATCAATGACAAAAAAGGAACAATCAGAACTGAAGGATACACTAATGGAAATGAATAATTTACAGGGAATCAACAATAGAGGGCACCAAGAATCGAATCAGTCAACAGCTAAAAGAAAAAAAGATTCCAAAAATATGAAGATAGTGTAAGGAGCCTCTGGGACAACTTCAAGTGTACCAACATTTGTATCATGGGGGTGCTGGAAGAAGAAATTGAAAACCTATTTGAAAAATTAATTATTGATGAAACTGGTTTGGCTCAGTAGATAGAGCGTCGGTCTGCGGACTGAAAGGTCCCAAGTTCGATTCTGGTCAAGGGCATGTACCTTGGTTGTGGGCACATCCCCAGTAGGGGGTGTGCAAGAGGCAGCTGATTGATGATTCTCTCTCATCAATGTTTCAACTCTCTATCCTTCTCTCTTCCTCTCTGTAAAAAATCAACAAAATATATTTTAAAATAGTAATAATTATAGAAAACTTTCCTTACCTGGTAAAATAAATAGATATCTAAGTCCAGGAAGTGCAAAGAATCCCAAACAAAAGGAACCCAAAGAGGTCCACACCAAGATAAATTATAAGTAAAACACAAAGGAGAATCTTAAATGTAGCAAGAGAAAAGCAGTTAGTTACCTACAAGAGAGCACCCATACAACTGATTTCTCAACAGAAATTTTGTAGGCCAGAAAGGAGTGGTAAGAAATACTCAAAGTGATGAAAAGCAAGGACCTACAACCAAGATTACTCTATCCTGCAAAGCTATCATTTAGAACTAAATGTCAGATAAAGAGCTTCACAGACAAGAAAAAGCTAAAGGAGTTCACCACCACCAAACCACACGAAATGTTAAAAGGTCTTCTTTAAGAAGAAAAAAAAGATAAAAAGTATGAACATAAAATGCCAGTAAATACATTTCTATCAATAATTGAATCTAAAAATCAAAGAACAAAATAAAATTATTAATAAAATAGAATCGGAAGCATGGTAACCTAGAACAAACTGATGAATCTCAGAGGGAAGGGGAGATAAGAGTGGGAAGAGATTAACCAAAGAACTTATATGCATATAAGTATTATCCATGGACACAGATGGTTAACACCTGATATGAGATGGGATCCAGGTGAAAGGGGGCAAAGGAGGAATAGAAAGGGGAACATCTTTAGTATATATATATATTATCGATTTTTCACAGAGAGGAAGGGAGAAAGACAGAGAGCTAGAAACATCGAAGAGAAAGATACACTGACCAGCTGCCTCCTGCACACCCCCCATCGGGGATGTGCCGTAACCAATGTACATGCCCTTGACCGAAATCGAACCTGGGACCCTTCGGTCCGCAGGCCAATGCTCTATCCACTGAGCCAAACCGGTTTCGGCTCTTTAGTACTCTTTAACAATAAAAATTTTAAAAAATATATTCACAATGGGAAAACGGAGGACTGCCTTGTAATAGAAGTTGCTGTAAATTGCCGAAGCTGGTTTGGCTCGATGGTAGAGTGTCGGTCTGTGGACCGAAGGGTCCCAGGTTCGATTCCAGTAAAGGGCATGTACATTGGTTGCGGGCACGTCCCCGGTGGGGGGTGTGCAGGAGGCAGCTGGTCGATGTTTCTCTCTCATCAACGTTTCTGGCTCTCTATCTCTCTGTAAAAAATCAATAAAATATATTTTTTTAAAAAGGAGTTGCTGTAAATTAAAGTATACATGGTACACTTAGGGATATTATTATCATTCAAACAATACTTTGAAATATTAAAAAAAAGGACTGACTCCTGCAAAAATGTAAACATCCAATATAATAAAATCCTAATATGTAAATCGACTGAATGGCAGAACTATGATGTGAACATCAGGGGCAGATGCTCAATGCAGGAGCTGCCCCTGGTGGTCTATGCACTCCCACCGGGGGGAGCACCGCTCAGCCAGAAACCGGGCTCATGGCAGGTACGGGCCATCTCTAAGGCAGCACTAAAAAGCATGAGCCTGGCTTCTGGCTGGCGAGCGCAGCAGTGGTGGCAGGAGCTTCTCCTGCCTCCATGACAGCGCTGAGGACCCTTCGGAGGACATTCCCCAAGATGGCGCAGGCTGAGTTGAGGGGGATTCTCCTCCCCATGTATTAATGTCATTCACCAGGCCTCTAGTATCAAATAATCAGTCAACACCAGAAACAGAATAATTAAGATCGCTTTTAAAACTGGAAAGAAGTACAACGAATCAGTGGTTCTCAACTGGGGACAATTTTGCTCACCGTAAGAGACATAGGCAATTTCTGGAGATATTTTTGGTAACACTACTGCAGTAGGAGGTCGCTAGTAGCATCTAGTGGGTAGAAGCCAGGGCTGCTGCTGAACATCCTGCAATGTACAGGCTGGCTCCTATGAAAATAACTGTTTAGCTCCAGACGTCAACAGGACTGATGTTGAGAAACCCAACTATAAATTATAGCCAACAGTCATTTCACAGGTGGCATTACTAAAATAAACTTGAACAACTACAGCTATGTTCATCTATAGAAAAAGTCATACCACATCCCCTTCAACAAAATTGTGTCTACAGATGACATGGCAAAGGGAGGGGGGGGAATGACCACACTATTCGACCAGATTTTTCATGTGAAACAGCCATGTAACCACAGATTTCTTCTTTTAACTGTCAGAAAGCAGGTTAAAGTAAAGAGAAGAAACATAATGAATCCTTAATGAAATCAAAATGCAAAATATACTGTCATGTGGACTCAAGTCTTTCTCCCTGCTTAGTTTCTCTCAGTATACATTTAAGAAAATCTTCAAAATATTAAAAATCACGGTAAAAAATACCATACTTCTTTCCTATCACCAAACAAGAAAATGAACCGTATCTTTCCTTACCCAACTATATAAATTAACAGACATCTCAAAATGTTACTTTGAAACAATTTATCCTTAAATAAACATTTTCAGAATATAATTAAAATATTTTGGTTCTTTGCAGTATTATTGAAAAATGGCACACACACAAAAATATTCCCCACTTCAGTAAAAATTACCTGAACATTTATTTTGAAGACTAGTTCCTTAAGAACATAGAATCCTACACCTTGAAACAAAATAATTTGTTTAGGAAAATAATTTCATAAATGATACAAATTTCCATTAGACTCTAAGGGAGTCATTAAATTATACTCAGAAAATATAAAAATTAAGGGAGAAAGACTTATAATAAATGGAAAATGCAATATGATATCAAATAAAAACAATGCAAAGGGAAACCAAACAAACCAAAATAAAACACCAAGGCTGGCAAGAAATAATGGTTGTATTTTTGAGTGGTGAAGCTATGGGGATTATTTTACAATTTACTGAATTTTCCAAATTATCTCTACTCAGAAAACATTATGTTTTTAAAAGGGAAAAAAAAACCTGTTAACTGGATAAAACTATCATATTCTCAGTTATTTAAATTTCAGATATCTACAGGAGTCTTTCACACCATTTTCATCTCAGTCTATACACATAATAATACATTATCTCCTAACTTGGTTACACATTGACCTCATTTCTTTTTAAAATGCAATAGGGTCATTAAGCGGAATGACTACAGGGATAAATACACATGTATTTTAAAATACAAACCACTCGCACACAGAGCAAAAGCATTTGTCAACATACAGCTTGCTTGTATATTTTCCTTACCCCATTTTCTCTTTGTGAAATAGGCATCAGCATTGGGGTCATTGAAGTGTCTGCTCATCATAGTTTCTCCTCCAGCATGGAAATCATATGCAAACACAAGAGCTTAAAAATAAAATACAAATGTTCTTTACTGCAATCTGGCTTTAAACAGTGAGGCTTATAAGCAGAAAACAATTACAAATTACTCACAAGGCTCTGCAAATGCTTTAGTGGTAAATACCTCACGCAAAGTTACAATATTCGAGTGCTGAATTTTTTTCCACATATCAACCAACACCATGCACTTTGTGTTAACAAGACGAAAACCTAAAAAAGAAAATTTTTACTAAACTGTCAATGACATCTTTACTTAGATGGGGAGAGAAAAAAACATGCCATACATTACTATAAGTACTAATTGCTGAATGAAATAATAAAATTACTTATTATCCTTTAAATTAATGCTAGATAATCCTATATAATAAAGAGCTAATATGCAAATGGTCATCATGCTGTCACATCATCACACAATGGGCTTAGACACTCAACACTGGGAGAGAGGAATGGGGACCAGCCAGGCTGTGGTCCGGGAGAGGGACAAGCCACCCATCACTTGGTCCCCTGTGGCTGTGGCCGGCACGGGTGAAGCTGGCCCAGGTCCTGGGTGCCTGTGACCAGCCAGTGGGAGGGAAGTCCAGGTCCCGGGTGCCTGTGACCAGCAGAGGAGGGAATCCTGGGTCCCAGGTGCGGGGCAAGGCAAAGGCAGTTAGGGGTGATTAGGCCAGCAGGAGAGCAGTAAGGAATGATCAAGCCAATAAGGGAGCAATTTAGGGGCATCAGGCATGCAGGCAGAGGTGGTTAGGGGCAATCAGGCAGGCAGGCAGGCGATCAGTTAGGAGCCAATGGTCCCAGATTTCAAGAGGCAGTCGGACATTCCTCAAGGGGTCCCAGTTTGGAGAGGGTGCAGGCCGAGCTGAGGGACGCCCCATCCCCATATACAAATTTCATGCACTGGGCCTCTAGTATAAATAAATAAATGTATTCAGGAATGTTTGAATAATCTTAGACTCACTAATATGCTTCTAAGAGAGGATAATTTATCTTCCTTACCATGTATCCTCCGAAGGCAATATGGCAGATCATCTTTGCTATTCATGGCTTTATAGCAAGATGTAATGTAGCCAAAATTACTTGATTTTTGTATTCGGTTGGGTGGTGGCAGTGGTTCTAGAGGGAATAGGCTATGATAGCTGTCAACTTCTGCAGGGAATGCTAGAGTAATTCATAGGAAAACAGATGACAACTTGCAGATATTCATGTCTCTCAGTGATAAAAAAGAAATCAAACCTACTTTAAATAACTAACAAAGTAATAAAAACATACTTTGAACATTAACAATAATTACATAAAACTGGTTTCATTATCAATAAAAATAGTCATTATAAAACAACATAGAACTAAATTTATACATTCAAGATATTTATTTCATAGAATACAACAAATATCAGAAACAACTTATAAATAGTAAATATTACTGATTCTGATGATGAATAAAAATCAAGGTAGATTTTGTTTCTTTAAACATGTATTTCTGTACTAAATATATTTAGACAGTGGCATTAAGCTATAAATTCTTGTTTTCAAAGCATAAAGAAATTCAAAAGTAACACTGAATTGAAGAGTGTATCTTTCTAGTATGTCCATGTGTATATGGCAATCTTTTTCAAAACTCTCCAACCATTCAGTGGAATAACATAGTTTTAATCCCTAATAAAACATAAAAGAAAACTAGAACAACTTTATCACCATGCCTGCCACATTCCTCAAAGACAGAAAAATGATGTTTAAAGATATATACTGTAATGGAATTTGCTTGTGATACTGTTAGGCATTCAAATGATTTATCTTGAATTCCAATTTGTTGTTTCTTATAAAGACTAAGAAGCTGAACATGAAAATATACTCAGTGGTTGGTTTCCCTATAGAACATATGTAATTTATTTTCCCTTCTATTGCTCCCCATTATCTAGAACAAACATGTATTAGTTTTACAATCCAAAAAGGGAAATAGTTTTTAATGCTTTAAATACAATCAACTGTATTTGTCAACTGGACAGCTTCCATTGGTGAAATGTCTTGAATGACTTAGGAATGGTCACCATATCTCAATTGAAAAGCATTTGAGTGAACATGCAGAATATCATAGAAAAACATCTAGTGAGGAACACATTGAAACTTTAACAATGGTAATCACTAAGTGGGAGGATTTTCTCCTCTTTTACACTATTCTGTATTTGTTGAACTTTTTACAACAAACATGTTTAACATTATTTTGAAACAAGGCAATAAATCTCATTTTAAAAATCTAACAAACAAAACAACTAATAATGTTTTATCTATAACTTCTAAGTAATCCAGGTGAAACCCTATTAAGAAAACTCTAATTACAGATCAAAAGGACCTCTGCCCTTGCCGGCTTGGCTCAGTGGATGGAGCATCAGTCTGCGGACTGAAGGATCCCAGGTTTGATTACAGTCAAGGGCACATGCCTGGGTTTGGGGCTTGATCCCCATTAGGGGACATGCAGGAGGCAGCCAATCAATGATTCTCTGTCATCACTGATGTTTCCATCTCTCTTTCCCTCTCCCTTTCTCTCTGAAATATATATATTTATATTTTTTGCCCATTTATTATATTTGCCCATTTATTATTTAGTTGAACCATCAAGTATAATTTCTACAAACAAATGAGAAATAAATTTTATTTTCTAGCTATTTCATCAGGGAATTAATTTCAAGTTAGTAAAGATGTATTGAGTATCTATTATGCATTAGTGAACCCATATTAATGAAATATGGGTTCTTATCAAGAGGCTTAAAGATTGATATAAAATACAAAGCAAAATAGCTATTTAAAAAGTGCAATTCATCATGCTACTGGTTCTTCAACTTTAGCACCCTTCCAAATCTTGTAAAAACTGTTACTCAACTGGTCAAAAATAGGGCCCAAGAATTTACAATTCTAATAAACTCCCAGATGATAATGAAAGGATTCTGCAAGTGGTCAGAGGACCATACTTTGAGAACTATTATGCATGGAAACACAGAGAAGCAAGCCATTCTCATGGATATTAGGAAAGATCTTATAGCTGATTTGGCATGCTAACTACAAACCAATGAGCTAAAACAAATGGAAAGAGTGTTTTATGCTACGGGAGTAAATGAAACAACAACAAACAAGGTATGAATGTGTCCAGTTGTCCACAATGCTGAAATATTATGTGGGAGAAATAATGAGGTACCACAGAGGAGAGGCAGAGTGAATATAAACCTGAGAGATATTTATGTTGGAATTACATCAGAGGGAAATTTAAACGCTGTACTAAGGACTTGAAATTTACTATGCCGAGCAGTGGTATTCCTAGCATCAGTGTGACAAAGAGATTGTTTGAGGGACACTATCAACTAAAAAATCGTATGCTTTTACTTAACTCTTTCATCCCTCTGTCTGCTTCCAAGGTAGTGAAGCTGAATCCCAAATAGTGCAGAGGAAAACAATTGTGCTTTAGTAGAAAACTATGAATTATTTAAAGGGTACCCCTCCTCCAGTGTCTGATTTAGAGTCTATGAAAAATATGTTACACCTCTGTAAGGTATAGATAACTGGTAGCACTGCAAAATAATTCTTATCTACAGACATATGTATTCTGTTCTGTCTGGTGAAGGTTCAAATGTCTTCCTTCCTCTCCCTTAAAAAAGCCAATTTGCACATTCACTTAATTATTCTTTATCTATAATATGTCTTATGTGACTGGCTCCCTCATGACTTAAAGTTTTTATACATGTTTATTTTTAAATCTGTACATTATGACTACTTTTTTTTTTTCCCCCAGGAAGACATCTTTTAACAAATTTCCCTGCCTACCCTGAAATCACCATATGTGGCCTAATATTAATCTTTAAAACTGAATGTTTCCACTTATAGATATAAATACTTGTCATAGTTCTGTTCTTTATAGCTCAATTTAACAAATGCACAAAATTAAGTATGGATAAAGAAAATAGGGTTGCCTTAATCACTGTTAGGCATTAAAAAAATTAAAGAAAATCAACTTGGAAGTTTAGAGCTACATTCTTTATTTTATACTCAATATTTCTCTGGGGCCCAGGTCCATAAAATAATATTTTAAAATTTTAGTTTATTTCCTTTGTTCAACCCTACTTGCCCTCAAAGAACATATAGGATGATAAGTTGAACCTAAGATACTGCGATTCACTGCAACAAACCTATGGCAGAGTTTCTGAACCTCAGCACTACTGACATACTGGACCAGATCATTATCTGTTGTCAGGTATTGTTCTGTGCATTGTAAGGTGTTCAGCAGTATCCCTAAATTCAACCACTTGTAGCCCTTCAAAAATGTTCCAGACAGTACCAAATGATCCATTAGGGATAAAACCATTCTTGTTTGAGAATCACTAATTTATAGAAAATAAACAATGACTTCAGAGTTGAGAAGTACTAATTTGATGAAGTATGATATATGGAATGGAAACAGAGCAGAAAAAGGGCAGCATGAACAGATTAGGAAATTAGTGAACATGAGACAAATATTAATAGTAAATATGAAACATGAAGAAGACCAGAATTAGTGCAGTAATAGACAAACCCACTGGTTAAACCCAAGTGCACAGAACTGAATTAACCATAATCTTTAGTTTGTGACACTCAAATTGCTGGTTCATGACTTTGCAAGGCCTGCTGCCATTTATTCTTAATATAATAAGCATCTACAAACATGGCACACAGAAAAAAAACACAGACCTTGACATCTAAATGATTCTCTCTACTAACTTTTTTTTTTTTTTTAATATATTTTATTGATTCTTTACAGAGAGGAAGAGAGAGGGACAAAGAGTTAGAAACATCGATGAGAGTGAACCATCGATCAGCCACCCCCTGCACATTCCCCATCGGGGATGTGCCCGCAACCAAGGCACATGCCCTCGACCGGAATCGAACCTGGGACCTTTCAGTCCGCAGACTGACGCTCTACCACTGAGCCAAACCGGTCTCTGCCCTACCAACTTTTGACTTCCTTCTTTTCCTCTGCCTTCCCTTTATATATATATATTTTAAATATGTTTTACTGATTTTAGAGAGGAAGGAAGAATAGAAAAATAGAAACATAGATGAGAAATATCTATGAGCCGCTTAGAGCACACCCCCTACTAGGATCAAGCCCCGCGACCCAGGCATGTGCCCCAACCAGGAACAGAACCAGCGACCTCCTGATCAACCACTGAGCCACATTCACTGGGCCCCTTTTTTATTACATCTTTATGTATTCCTCACTAGTTTATCATGTATGCATGTACATAAATACAAGTACATATATACATTTTAGTTAACTTTATAAAATAAAGCTATTATACTGTATATAATCTCAAATTTTTACTTAATATTACATTACAAGGATTCTTCTGGACTGGCCAGGTGGCTTGGTTGGAGTGTCGTTCCATGCACCAAAAAGGTACACGGTTGTGGGTTTGATTCACCATCGTGGTGAGTATGGGAGGCAACCAATTGATGTTTCACTCTCACATTGCTTTTCCTCTCTCCTTTCCCTTCCTCATTCCCTCTCTCTCTCTAAAAATTAATAAAGGCATATCTTCAGTGAAGATTAAAAAACACACACATTTGCCCAACTGGTGTGGCTCAGAGGTTGAGAGTTGACCCAGGAACCAAGAGGTCACTGGTTTGATTTCTAGTCAGGGCACATGCCCAGCTTGCAGGCTCAATCCCTAGTAGGAGGTATGCAGGATGAAACCAATCAATGATTCTCTCTCATCATTGATGTTTCTATCTCTCTCTCCCTCTTCCTTCCTCCCTCTCTCTAAAAACCAATAAAGGGAAAAACACAACCACCACATTGTTCTGTACTGCTGCATGTCAACATAATTTTTTCATTTTAACTGCTATATAATATTCTACTGACACTATCACAGTTAATTCATCCCTTGTCCTTCAGATGGGCATTTGAATTAATCAAGATTTCTGCTATTGTGAGCAGCAATGTTATGGATACTTTATACATTTTCTGGTTGAAAATGTGTAGAGGTATTCCTATATCGAGGAGCAGAATATTTGGACCTTAAGTAACACAGATATTCAACTTTAGTTTTCCAAAGTGGTAACAAGTTTACCATTATACTACCAATAGCAATGTACTGAAGAACCTATGGATCCAAATCCTCATACTTTATCTGATGAGACTTCAAAATGGTATTTTATTTGTATTTACCTAATCATCAGTGACGTTGAGTATCTGTTCTTATATTTTTCAGTCATGAATTTCTACTTTCTTGAATTGCCTATTCCTATCATTTGGTCATTTATTTTATTGGATTATTTAGGCTCTTACTGATTTGTGTATTTTTTATATTCTTTGTCAGTTGTGTAATATATTTTCTTCTAAGGCTATTTTTTTATTGTTGTTGACAATCCTCTCTAGAGAATATGTCTTCCACTGATTTTAGATAGAGTGGAAAGGAGGGAGGACAGGGAAAGAGGAGAAACACTAATGTAACAGCCACATCAATCGGTTGCCTCCTGCATATATCCCAACTGGCATGGGGAACCTGCAACCCTTGGAGTTGATTTTTTTTATGTGATTTGAGGTAGTCCAATTTTATCTTTTACCATAAAAATAACCATTTTTGCCTTCCTTTTCCCACTTATATGCCACCTCTATCATAAAATGGGCCTGGGCTCTCCCCAGTCTGTTTCATTAATCAATTTGTCAAACCCAATGCCATCACCACATTGTTAGTTACAATAGTCATAAACCAATCCTCCTCTCCCCCAATATACCCAGATTGCTAATCATAATCTTCAAAGTGTCTTGACCCTTTTCTCTTAGAGGAATGTTATGATATGATATGAAAAGCTCTACTGAACTGTAACATGATAGATAGATAGATAGATAGATAGATAGATAGATAGATAGATAGACAGACAGACAGACAGACAGATACCAACTTTGATTAAAATGTGGAACTTTCAATACCTATTTTCCCTTCAAGTTTAGAGAGGGAGAAAGGGGTTGGAGAATGAGTTATTACCAATAGCCAAAGAAACAAATTATTCCCACAAAATAAAATTTTCTTAAAAACTCCTAAAATAGCAAGATTCAGAGAGCTTACAAGTGTGAACACAATGAGGTGCTAGGAGGATGACACACTCAGAGAGGGCATGGCAGCTCCCCATTCCACCTCTACAAATACCTTACACAATTCATCTCTTCCACTTAGCTTGTTCTGAGGGGAGTGATGAAAATGTCCCACCTTTGTAGTTGGCCAGACAGAAATGTAGGTAGTGTGGGTATCCCATTTCACCTGGAATAATCTTATGGGACTGAGTCCTTAACAATTAAATTGTTAGGACACAAATTAGATGTCAGAAATATTTTTATTTTAAAAACTTCTTAAGCTTTAAAAAAAATTACTGATTCTTTTTTACAGAGAGGAAGAGAGAGGGAAAGAGATAGAAGCATTGATGGGAGAAATATAGATCAGCTGTCTTCTGCATGCCCCCTACCAGGGACTGAGCCTGCAACCTGGGCATGTGCCTTGACCAGGAATCTTGGTGCATGAGTTGACACTCAACACTGAGCCACACAGGCCTAGCAAGTTCCTATGCTTTGACTAGTATTATATCCAATCTATGGATCACTTTAGAAAAATTGAGATCTAAGTCATTTTGTATTCCTATTCATGAATAAAGTATTTCATAACTTGATTTACCTTATTTAATACTACATATTCAAAAATCTCCCTCAATGAGAATTTACACATCTTTGATTGTATTTACTTAAAGGAACTGATATTCTAAAAATCCTTGCAAATAGCACCTTCTCTTGTAGTTATTTTTTAAAGTTAGTGGCTGCAAGTTTATAGAATTGCAACTGATATTTATTAATTTTATAAACAGCTATTTCCTAAACTCTATTATAATTTTCAAATCACATCTAATGTATCATTATATGATTTACACATGACTTAAATCATAAAGACTAGAATAATCCTATTTAGTTTTCTTTTTCCCTTTTACCCTCATTAGGACCTCAAAGGCAATGCTAAATAATTAAGGAAAATCCCTATCTGAACACTTCAAAAGTTATGACAGATAAAATTACTGATTCTTTTTTATAGAGAGAAAGAGAGAGGGAAAGAGATAGAAGCATTGATGAGAGAAATATCGATCAGCTACCTTCTGCATGCCCCATTGCTGTTCGTTGCTGGAAAGATCGGTCTTAAGACATAATAGCCAGACACACTTCTTTTAATTCTCTAACAGTCAAGAAGACCCATAATTGACAAGATTCAATCCTTGGTTACAAGCAGGTATTTCAAGATTACCTTTGTGGCAAAAGTAGTCCTACTGTACTATTTGTAAAGTTTTATTAAATTATACCATATTTAATCTTGCTATAAAGAAAATATGCTACAGAAAGAGATTTTAATGGCTCCCTTAGAAACACTGTGATACAGTCAGAAAAATCTAAGTTTATATCCTGACTCTGCCAGCCAATTATTAGCCACTGGTCTTAAAGGCAACTTACTGAAAATGCCTGTCAACTTTAGTTTTCTTCATATGTAAAATGGAGATTATAGCCCTGGCCAGAGTGGCTTAGTTAGTTGGGTGTTGTTCCATGCACCAAAGTGTTGCCAATTCAATTTCCGATTAGGGCACATGCCCAGGTTGCAGGTTCAATCTCTAGTAGGGGGCATGCAGGAGGCAGCTATCAATGTTATGCTCTCACACTGATGCCTCCCTCCCCCCCCTCTCTCTCTCAAAATCAATACACTATTCAAAAAACATGTTTTAATGGAGATGATATTAGTATCTATGTCACAGGATTTTTATAAGAAAAAGCATTTAATCATCTGCCTAGCACACTGTAGTCACAATAATAAACACCTTTCCCCTCTTCTTAAGAACCTATACTTTATCAAATATCAGAAGACAATAATATACTAATATATAGTAAGATAAATCACCATGAATTCTAAATCTAAATTTTTGGTGAACTAGAATACTGTCACATGTAGAATAAATTTAAATAAACTAGATGATCTGTGATATGCTGGAATACTTCTTAATTGAATCTGAAATAAATCCTATATAATAAAAGACTAATACGCAAATTGATGAAAGGATGGAATGATCAGTTGCTATGATGCACATTGACCACCAAGAGGCAGATGCTCAATGCAGGAGCTGCCCTCCAGTGGTCAGAGTGCTCCCACAGGGGGCGCACCACTCAGCCAGAAACCAGGCTCATGGCTGACAAGCACAGTAGTGGCAGGAAACTCTCCCACCTCTGCAGCAGTGCTAAGGATGTGCAACTGACAGCTTAGGCCTGCTCCCTGAAGACCTAAGCAGTCAGTCAGACATCCCCCAAGGGCTCTGTGATTGCAAGACAGCCCAGACTGGGTTGAGGGACCCCCGCCCCCTCCACCCAGAGTGCATGAATTTCGTGCACCAGGCCTCTAGTATATTCATAAAATACTAATTAGGTAGTTTAAGACCAAAAAAAAAAAAAAAAAAAAAAAAATCATGTAGGACTATATAAGAATTATCCTTTAAAAGGAAGAATGAATCAACTCAAATTTTACCTGGCATATCTGCTTGATCAACTTGTGCCATTGTTATTAAATGTCTGTTAATGAGCTCCTAAGAAAAGAAAACAAGTATATTTATATCTAAAGTTTCTGAAATCTGTATTTTCTACTATAACTAAATAACACAAGTAATAAAATTTTTGGTATGTGTGCTTTTGAATGTTGATATCATGAAATAACATTTCCAATAATGGTAAAAAATTCTAGTACTGCCCCTATTAAGGTTGAGTTCCAGTAACTATGCTATAACTCAAAGCATATAACTGTATCTGTAGCTGAAAACTCAAGTTCTATGCTAAGCTTGTCAATAACTCAGTCTATGAACATTATACAGATGTAACATTCTTCTGTGAAACAAAAATATTTTTGAGAATATAAGTGTAAAATGAAATTCAACATATCAAATAACACCTAGATGTCTAACAAAAAATTATTTTATAAAACCCTACTTTAGAGAAAGGATTGAGCTCTCTTAATGTGAGATTTATTTCTGGGTCATCCTACCTAGTTTGAACCTATAGATATTAGCCAAACATTGTCTGCAGATTAGAAACAATCTAAATTACTTTTGAATGCATTGTCTGAAGGTTAGAAACAATTTAATTTATATATTTCTGAGAGACCTAAGTAGCTATTCTATGTTTCATATCTGAATACATACTTAACTGTTTTTTCTTGTAAAACAGCTTTCCTTAAATGTCACTTATAACTCATAAATTCTAAATTCTCTCTATCTGGTTTAGTACAGCATATTTTATTAAATAACATGATTTGAAAAGAGCTATTGTTTCTTCAGTTCTTTGCTAAAAGCACACTAGATATTAAGCATCCCTACTAGGAATTATGAGTGCATACCTGTCGGAGCTCATCAGCCATGAAGAAGGAAGGTGCATTTGCTTTTGGTTGCATATAAGCAACATGAGGTGCAGTTGGAGGATAAATATGATAATTTGGAAATACCTAAAAAGGTAGGGAGGAAGAAAATGTAACAATCAATTTTTTTCAATTGGTAAATTTTATCATTGTTTTGATAAAGTTCTCATCTTTAAATAACAATGATAAATTGTTAAATGATAGTGAACAGCTCAGAGAATAACTTATCAGTATATTTTCTGAATTAATGTAAAAAGTCACTTTATTCTATAGAATAAAGAGCTAATATACTAATTAGACCAAACAGGAGAATGACCTTCCAGATGAAGCTACAGCTGTGAGGGCTGAGGTAGCCAGGGCTTTTCGTGCCTCGGGCCTCTAGTATATAATAATCAACTTGAAAACTCGAATGAGAAACACTTCTTCAGATATGGTGAAATTTGTTTCAATGATAGGCAAAAGTAGCTCTTTGAATGAAATGTTAACACAAGCATTTTGTATGCATTTTTAAAAGCAGTTGGAAGAAAGGAAGGAAGCAAATATTAAAGGTGATAGGGCACAGTCAGATAATGAAGTAACACTGCCCTGGTGGCCCAAAGAACTGCCCTATTATGAGGCTTTTTGTGGCCAACCTAAACAAAGTGTTACCTAAATACCTGTTAAACACTTCAAACTGCAACAGTAAAGAATACAAATTTACTCTGGGTTAATAGCTTAAGTGAACAGAAGGGTGCAACAATGTACTTATGTTCTAAGCAAACTACAACAAAGTTACTAAATCTGCTTTCAGGTTCCCCCCTTTCATTCTTCCAATTGGACTCTCCCCAGCACCCTGCTTTTTTTTTCCCCCCCCCTCTTTCCTCTTCCTCTCCTTCCCTTCACTGGTCCATGAAACAAAATCAACGGATATTATAAAATTCCTTTTGCTTTATTCTTTCATTGTAAAAGTTGAAACAAACATTGTTGTCTCTTAAAAATTAATTCAGCTAATTTCTGTTCCTCTCAGATAATTATTCTGTTAGAGATCTCAACCAGGAAGTGTTTTTGCAATACTTATAAAATTTCCTTTAACCTGTATCTACAGAGAGAAAATGCCTTTTTCTTACATCAGATAGCATTGTTTGTCTTAACTACCTCTGGTTTACCATGAGCATATTTTAAAAAGCAGTTTGAAGGACATAAACATAAAAATGTGCCATATATCATCTCTACAAAACCAATTAGGATAGTTTTGTGACAAAAGAACCTCTTTATAAATCAAACTTCTTTCTACAAATACAATAATATAATAAAGATGTAAGTAAGTATAAAATATAATAAACCCAAAAAGGTAAAACATTGATGGAATTCTTACTTGAAAGAACCAAGGAAAGTCTCTACTCTACCTCAATTATTTGACCTTCTGTTCGGCAAGCTGTTCTGTGATAATTTTTGAAAGATCTCTGACCAAAAACAAAACAAAATAAAAAACTATTAGCTATTTCATTATTTCTTTAAAAAGCATTTTGCATGATTTACAAGTGCTTCTATAAATGTTTTCACGTTTATTTCTCATAAGATGGTTAGGTGATATTATCCCAATGTACAACTGGGGAAACAATCTCAGTGGTACTAAGATTCAAGAGTCACAAAACAATGGCAGAAATGGGACTCTTATAAATAAGTAACAAAAAATCTATTGTCTTCTGACTCAAATTGGGTTTTAATAAAATGTTAAATTTAATCAAAATAGAACATTAATTTAATATGTAGGATCAAAATCTGCCTGCTTACTGAATTCGAACTATACTTTTTTTTTTAATCCTCACCTGAGGATATTTTTTTCTACTGATTTTCAGAGAGAGTAGGAGGTGGGAAAGGGAGGTGGTAGAGAGGGCAGGAGGGGAAGGGAGAGAGACAAAAACATTGATGTGAGAGAGAACAATCGATTGGTTGTCTCCTGCATACACCCCAACCAGAGCTAGAGATTGAACCTACAAGCCAGGTATGTGTCCTTGATCGGGAATGGAAGCTGAGACCTTCCAGTCAGTGTGTAGGCTGACGCTCTAACCAATTAGCACACTGGTCGGGCTACTTTTCATCGAAGCTTCTCACACATGAACATGTCAAATGTCAGTTTTCATATTTTAATAGAATTTGGCTTTTTTACTCATGAGCTCTTCATTGCTATTTTGGGGGTGAGGGGGAGGCAGAGGTGGTAGGGGAAGGAAAAGGCTTGGGTGTGCTCCCATGAGGAAGAGCATCACTACTTATTTTTCTATAGTTAAAAAAATAGTTTTTAAACAGGAACAATATAATAAAGCTAAAAAGGTACAATCTGCCCTGACTGGCACGACTTAGTTGGCTGAGAGTCATCCCATGCACTGAGAGGTCACCAGTTCAATTTCCAGTCAAGGCACATGCCCAGGTTGTGGGCTCAATCCTAGGTGTGGGGCCATGTATGAGGCAGCTTACGAATGTCTGTCTCTGTCTCTCTCTCTCTCTCTCTCTCTCTCTCTCTCTCTCTCTCTCTCATACTCCCTTCCTCTATCCCCCAAAAAATCAATAAAAATGTATTTTTTTAAAAATTAATTGGTCTCACAGTGGAAAAGTGATCCCATTTCCCTTAATAAAAAAAAGTATAATTATGGAACATTACAAAGCTTCCTTTATCCCACTCCACCCTCCTCCTTCTCCTAAGAGTCCTTTGTCAGTTCTTTCCTCGTCCATAATCAGGGCTCCTTAAGCCTTTCCAATCCTTAACAATGAATGACCCATAGAGGAGGCTTCTTTTCTGTGTCCTCCACTATCCAGAGGTCTAGCAATTAAATCGCTGCCTCACAAAAGGCAAGAATTTCATCATCAGTTTGCTTTCAGTAAATACTGCTTTTAAAAATCATCTTTCTCTAGCATCTTACAAGGGGTAAAACTACCTATAAACAAATGTCAGCAAACATCAACTCTAGCCAGCAGAAGTACTAGGTAACCCTAAACACAAAGCATGCCATAAACTACTAAACTAGAGCTTGAAAATAATCTAATTTTTAATTAAAACCAGATTTGTCCAAAAATAGAGTTCTTATTGATACAAAAACAGATTACTTTGAAAAGATATTAGAATCACCATCTAAATTAGAAAATTAAATACTTCTTCACATCAAAATAAAACGTGTAAGGGGAAACGTCCTCATTAATCTCCTCTATTAGAAGGAACTATCACTCCCTTTACAGCAGACATACCATTCCAGGCAAAGGGGCTGGAGCTGTGTCTGTATAGAAGTACGTCGTCCCGCCGACAGTTTCCTTTTGAATCAGCTGCCCAGAGGACGGTGTCTGAGAAACAGGATTATTAACAGGTGTGGAGGCAGTGGAAGGCACCATGTAATTTGCTGGATTTGGAGTGTGACTTCTTCTTCTGGGAGCAGGAGAAGTATGTGGAGTGATCTTGGGGGAATGAAGAGGGGAAGACCCAGCAGACAATGACATTCCTGAAGAAGAAAAAACAACATTTCTTAGGGAGCAAAAATTGGGTTTTTGAAGGAAAAAACCTGGGAAATAAAATGCAAACATTCATTTGGAAGAAACATCATCTTCAGCAAGTTCTTTAAGTGCAATGATAAAAGATGTAATTTTATCTTGTTTTGATTAGAGAAAGCTACGATTAAAGCAAATGTAAAGAAGTTTGCTTTTGCGAGACCGGTTTGGCTCAGTGGATAGAGCGTCGGCCTGCAGACTGAAAGGTCCCAGGTTCAATTCTGGTCAAGGGCATGTACCTTGGTTGCGGGCACATCCCCAGTAGGGGGTGTGCAAGAGGCAGCTGATCAATGATTCTTTCTCTTGATGTTTCTAACTCTCTATCCCTCTCTCTTCCTCTCTGTAAAAAATCAATAAAATATATATATTTTTTTTTTAAAAGAAGTTTGACTTGTATACATGCATATAAGTACAACCAATGGACATAAAACTCTGGGGAGGGAGGGGATGTGTGGAAGGGAGGGAGGGGGGCAAAAAAAAAAATCAATAAAATATGTAAAAATAAATAAATAATAAAAAAGGGGGGGGAAAAGAAGTTTGCTTTGAAATATAGATATTTCCAAATAAATTAGGAATTTTATTGCAATAATAGTCTCCTCCATATCAAGGTTTACATGAGAAATTTCAATAGTAAGACTCACCAATAATTTAATAAATTAATTTAATGGAAAAGTGAGAACTGGGATGCTTAATAAAATTATACCTTCTATAAAAGGACTTTTATAGAAGACATAATTCCTTTTTTGTTCAAATGGATATTAACAACAGAAATATCATATTCCACTAAAATATTACAGTATTAAAAATAATCAAGCTATTTAATAAGATTTATTAGATTTCTTTTGACCAAATATAATTAACAGAACAGCTGCTGTTTTGATTATGTTTTCTGTCCTTAACTCTAAATAGGCATAGAGTAGAACTGAAATTTTCTGCAAATGCATACTTTTTATAAATTAGACCAACTGTGTTCTAGAGGGGGTTTTACCTAAACTCAACTAGTAAGAAATCATTATATGCAGAGCATCTCTATTATGAATGAATCTATTGTGAAGAAAGGGAAAGGATAGCCATCTTTATCCTCCAGTAGATTTCAAGCTAGGTGAGAAAACAAGATCAGGTCACATGTAAAAGATATTAAAATGACTTACAAAAATAATCAAATATAAATTAGTATGCTGTAAACTACATGCATAAATGCAGACAGATAAAAATTAATGTAAACCAGATAAAGTTAAAGTCTTAATACAAGTGATCAGTGCTGAGATTCAAAAGTTTCTAGAGTCTGGTCAACATGGTTCATTGGTTGATAATCGACCTATGAAGCAGAAGGTCATAGTTTGATTCCCAGTCAGGGCACATGCCCAGAGGGGCATGCAGGAGGCAGCCAATCAATGATTCTCTCTCATCATTGATGTTTCTATCTCTCTCTACCTTGCTCTCTAAAATCAATTATAAAAAAAAAAAAAAAAGTTTTAGGACTACAGTATACTTCCTGGAAGAAAAACAAAAAAACAAAAAACTAACTTATCCAGGAAATGATTTCTGGCTCCTTGGGAAATTAATAAAATCTTTCATCTAAAGAAATGTGTATCTGCCCCCGCTGGTTTGGACCAGTGGAAAGTGATGGCCTGCCTACTGGAAGGTCCAGGGTTTGATTTGGTCAAGGACACATGCATGGGTTGAGGGACTTATCCTTAGAAGCGGGTGTGCAGGAGGCAGCTGATCAATGATTCTATCTCATCATTGATGCTTTTCTCTCCCTCCCCATTCCTCTCTGAAATCAATAAAAATATATTTAAAGTAAGGTACATCTCACAATTCAAAAACAAAAAAGTTACCAAAATGCCTCCAATCACATAAGTAGGATTAACAGAGATGTAAATTTTAATTTCTAAGAATTCATAAGACACCAACACTGTTTTCTGAAAAAATGTAGGTGAGTAAAAGTCTGGTGAGAATTGTGATAATACTTATTTTATAACTGTTTCTCTACTTTGTGAGCAACTAAATGGTTAGGTAGGTCAGTTACAAGCACCACAATACAAATCAGAACTGAGATAAAGTGAGGTTTTATTTGGCCAAGAACTCATACTGTCAACAGCTAAGCCTGGCCTTAAACCCAAGTCTCCACACTCTCAACTTGATACTTCTACTACAGTGACATTAAAATAGGCCAGAAATTCTCAAGTGGTCATTAAATGTATCTAAGAGAAACTTTAAAAATCTAAAACCCTATTAAAAAAATTATAAGGAAGTCAAGCTAATATATTAAGATATGTCTAATTTTTAAAAATTGTTCCATAATTGTTTTTCTAACTCTATATTATACACTTAATTTCAGGTTAATCCATATAGCAAAATTTGGGAGGATCATTAAACTTATTTTCAAAGGATAAATATACCCACTTAATACAAAATACATTTTCAATAGTTTTCCTAAAACTAGTCTCTAAGCCATTCCAAGACAAAGGGCCAAATTACCAAAGAAGAGTAAATATATTACCTTTAAATTAAATATCAGCAACAAATATAGTTATCAATTCTTAAGCACTTTACATGTGTCAGGCGCTAATAAAAGTGCTTCAAATATATTAGTCTATTTCATCCTTACAACAACCCTATGAAGTATATCACCTTCACCTCACAGAAGAAGAAACTAACTGAAAAATACTTTTAAACTTATTGTAAGGTTAAATATAGGTTATTAAACAAAAGAATCAAGATTCAAACTCAAGTGTATTTGATTCCTAAGACTGTGCTGTTACATAATATCCTCTATAGTTCCAATTCCAATAAAAATAAAATGAATAAAATGGCAATAAGTACATATCTATCAACAACTGACTCTTATATTCAGTAAATGTAACTACCTGAGCTAGGTGAGGAGAGGAAGGTGTAGCATGGGGTAAAAGGACAGATTCAGACATCAAAGTAAGTGTGTGAGACAAGTGGATCTCTTTAAGATCAAATACCTGGAAATAGTTATTAAGAAAATTTGAGGCCAGTTAAGAAGGAAATTCATGAATAGTAAAATGTATAGGCTATAGGTAACAAGCTTTCACTCAATTTTTTTTAATTTTTAAAAGCAAGGACCTACAACCAAGATTACTCTATCCAGCAAAGCTATCACTTAAAAACAAAGGACATATAAAGAGCTTCCCAGACAAGAAAATGCTAAAGGATTTCATCAATACCAAACAAGTATTTCATGGATTATTAAAAGGTATTCTTTAAGAAAAAGATAAAAATATGAACAATAAAATGGCAATAAATACGTATCTATCAACAAATTAATTTAAAATTCAAAATAAATGAACAAGCAGAAAAGAAGTAGACTAACAGAGAGAAGATTTTGACAGTTGCCAGATGGGAAGGGGGTTAGAGAAATGGGTGAACAGATAAAGGGATTTAGAAATACAAATAAGTAGTTAAAGAACAATCATGGGGGTGTAAAGTATAGCATAGAGAATATAGTCAATAATCCTATATAATAAAGAGCTAATATGCAAACAGTCATCACTACCTCACACAGTCATGCCATAACAACTCAGACACTCAAAACTGGCGAGAGAGGAATGAGGACCAGCCAGGCACAAATGAGCTCACAGAGAGGAATGGGGACCAGCTAAGCTGCGGCCTGAAAGAGGGATAAGCTGCCTGCCCCGTGGTCCTGGGCGCTGTGGCCGTGGCCCAGGCTAAGCCGCCCGTCCATGGTACCCTGCGGCTGTGGCCAGCCTGGGCAAAGCCAGCTGAGTCCTGGGTGCCTGCAGCCAGCCAGAGGGAGGGAAGCCTAGGTCTTGGGTGCCTGCAACTGGCTGGAAGAGGGAATCCTGGGTCCCGGATGTGAGGCAAGGCAAAGGCGGTTAGGAGAGATCAGGCCAGCAGGAGAGCAGTTAGGACTGATCAGGCTAGTAGTGGAGCAGTTAGGGCTCATCAGGCAGGTAGGCAGAGGGGTTAGGGGGCAATCAGGCAGGCAGGCGATTGGTTAGGAGCTAGAAGTCCTGGATTGTGATAGGCAGTCAGATATCCCCCAAGGGGTCCCAGATTGGAGAGGGTGCAGGCCAAGCTGAGGGACTTCCCCTTTCCCCCATGTATAAGTTTTGTGCACCAGGTCTCTAGTACTCCAATAACTATGTATGGTGTCAGATAGGTCAGAGCTTTCTCAGGAGGATGATCACTTAGTAAGTTTTAGAATGTCTAATCATGGTATATACACTTAAAACTAATATTGTATAAAAAAAATTAAAAATAATCCTTAAAATTTTAATTTTGTGGCTATTCTAACACAAAATTGCAAGACTGAAATTTAAGATCATGTATCTAAGCAGAAGCAGGTTGGAGTTAAATACATTCATAACAAAATAGGGCTGAAACCGGTTTGGCTCAGTGGATAGAGCGTCAGCCTCCGGACTGAAAGGTCCCAGGTTCGATTCCGGTCAAGGGCATGTACGTTGGTTGCAGGCACATCCCCAGTGTGTGTGTGTGTGGGGTGTGTGTGTGTGTGTGTGTGTGTGTGTGTGTGTGCGTGCGCGCGCGCGCGCAAGAGGCAGCTGATCAATGTTTCTCTCTCATTGATGTTTCTAATTCTCTATCCCTCTCTCTTCCTCTCTGTGAAAAATCAATAAAATATACTGGGGAAAAAAATAGGTAAATTAGTAAGTATTACCACCCAAAAAAGATAACAGCAAATTTAAACTCTATAGGAAGCTAGAAATGAAATGAAATTTTAAATTACAGAAAAACTAAATCTAGTCACAAAAGGCACATCTTTGTACTACCAAAATACTTCACAAACATGTTAAACTGAGTAAAATATGCATACACCTTCTTGGAGAGAGGTATTCAGTAGGTACTCGTAGAATAAAATTTTTATGACACCATATATAATAATTGCACTATAATTTCTTAGTGAATATACAAACTAAGATAATTAAGTCATGCATGATAAATC